ACTCGATATCGGATGATCATGCGTTGCGCGCTCTCTTCCAGCTGGAACATCTCAGAAAACAACCTGTTAGATTTCCAGGTAAAATGGACGAAGCAAATGGTTTAGTCAATGACAAAAGAAAGTTCACCTCAGTTCACACAAGAATCCATGCCGTATATCTGTTTGATTGGTAAGTATAAAGCAAGTAAATACATCGAAACATGAAATTACAATCGGCCGTATATAATCTCTTCTTATCTAGACATCGGACCAGGATATATGTCGAGTAAGGGCGGCCTAGCAGAAGCGCAGCGTCAGATTCTCTGCTAGAACTGAGATTCTTGTTACAAGAGCTTCGGGGGAAAAGGGGAGGGGCAGCTAATTCTCCATGGCCAAGGGAAAGAATATAGTGTCTCCAGGTTCTTACTGTCTCACGGCTAACATGATGGCTTTATCTTCGTAGCAGACATAGTACTTCAGTGACGTAGTCACTTGGTCAGGTTTCAAACTGAATTCATCATTTGAGATACCGAGGACATAGGCTGAATTAGGAGCAGCGGCCTTCCCCGTTTGTCCAAAGTGCATGTAGGTTGCACCTAGGTGTGTTGTGTGCATGCCCATTTAACTCGTAAATTCTCTCTTAGGAAGCAATCAAAGTAAAATAATTTAGCAAGACTTTCCCACTATGGTCTCTCAGCTTGTAAGAAGTCGGTCACATCGGCTAATAGTTCCCAACTCTGGTCATCAAACTCTGCAATGCCCTCTTCCCTCGTCGACCAGCTGCGGGACATGCTGAATTGTGACCCCTCGAGGAAGGATTGAGTGTCATGGCCTGCTAATGGCCCAGCCATCTCAAGGCCAGTGAGAAAGTTGTAATCATCAACAGACTCTTGTGCCACAGGCATTCCATATGCCAAGGCACTTTCGCCTACATGGGCAAGATCGACTGTTTGTTGATCCTGCTCACTCGTGTCATAGCTTTGAGTTTTGGCACCTGATTCTGAAGTTGGGGTTCTCTCTGGAGCTGATGACGCCTCGTAACGATCACGATTCGACCGAGATAGACTCGCCGCGATCTGCACCCGGCAGGACGCCAGCAGCTCTTCCACAACAGATTCCAATGTCTCGGCCAGGAAGCTCTCAAGCTCCCCTTCATCGTCTGAAACGTTTGGCTCTGGTATGAGCCCTCGCTCCCACAGAGCATCGGAGACCAGAGCCTTTCCGTTCGCATCCCAGAAGTCGTGGATCATGACCATAGACTCCTCGATCTGGTTTCCCAAGTATGCTGACTCTGGACGTGGTACATCAGGGAACACAATATCCCACACACTGAACCATTGCTGTTCCTCAGATAATCGTCTGTCTACCTTCCGAGTGAGCTGTCGGCTTTGATCTTCAGATATCCCCTCATAGTTGACCTGATCTTGTAGAGAGCAACCGCGTTGTGAAATATGGATGTCTCGGTCCGTTGGCTTGTCGAAGATCATCCAGCATGTTGGACAGTAATACGACGGTTGGCGATGTTTTCGATTGAGGTGCTGTTTGACGTCTTTGATCCTTTTGAGTTCGATTCTGAGGCACTGGAGATGCTTCAAAGGATCCTCCTTGTAGAAGGGGCAAGCAAGAATGATGCTTCTGCTCTTGTTGGACGGAGTCATTGTCGAGCCGCTCACAATATTTGCGTTAGAATCTTCACCCGCCTCACTTCCTCCATTACCCTCATTGTCGTTCTCGTCGTTCGACTTCTCGTATTTCCTAGATCTCTTGCTTGATTGCTGAGTTTGTGTTGCCGGAGGGTTTGCTGCTCGCTTGTTCGATTTCTGGGGACAGGTTTGCCATTCCAAGAAGTTGCTAAGACAGTCCCCTACTAGCAGCTTTTCGATTGACCGAAACCGATGGTCTGACGGCAAAGCATAGGTAGGCGCTACTTCTGAGGTTTCAGAAGGCGATGAGCTCTTGTCTTCACTTTCATCGGGGATCGGTGAAGAGGAAAGCTCCTGATCGGCATATCGCAGTGAGGGGATGTTGCAAGATTTGGGTGTTTCGGAAGGAGATGGGTACATGTATGCTACGTCTGAGAATGGACTGGAGCATGACAGGAACTCGTTCTCGTACTTGCTGGATGAAGGTGTCTCTGCCGGAGTAGGTCGTCCCTCATCACATGCTCTCCTTTCCAGATCCTCAAGCCTTCTCTTCAGCTTCTTTCCTAATTTTTTGTCAATGCATGGCTTCTTCTTCCAGTGACCAATCAACTCCTCTTGGCTACTCACTGTAGTTCCTTTGAGCTATTCGGTTTTGTATTCTCCGGCGCTCTGCCAGATCTGAAGTATTTGTCCAATCTTCTTCACCTTTCATGACCCTGCTCGATTTGTCCAACTTCTCTTTATCGGTCTCTCCTACAGTATTCCGCGGACGAAGCGGGAGCGCTGGGCTCTGCGCCTGGAAGCTGCTCTGGTGAGAGGCACCAGCCCGATCGTCAGAGAGCGCAGCTAACATGTCGACCTTGTTGTTATATTCTTAGACTCTAGGCCCTTCGTATGACATTCGTGTCTTCGGCGTAGCATATAAGTCGATCTATAGTCCAACGATGAGCGATGGCGAGTCTTCATATTTTAACGAGATTGCAGCCTGATTTCTTGATGAAAGGCACCAATGTGCCCTTGGGTCTTGTTGGTGGCCGCCGCACAGCCACAAATGCGCAGCAACGTGGCAGATCTGCTCCAATCGCTGGGTGGTAAGTAATTGTCGATAGCCAATAAACGGCAGTAAAGGCGAGCCTGCCTGTATAAACGTCTGCATGTGGCTTACGGTAGAGTACGTGATTCATGAGAGCTTTCATCCCATAACATGCTCTCTGAAGACAGGTCTGTGCCAACAGAACAAATATTCAGTCTCTAAGTAGTACGCTCAGTAGTTCTAGATGCGTGAGCCGTATGGTACGGTAACTTATGTATATTATTCTAAATGTCTTTCTCTTGCATTTATTTATTCAGGCGGGGAGCTCTCTCGGGGTCTCTCCAGTAAAGACACGCCTCTCTGCGAATATCATCCTTCTCAACTTTGGTTCCATTATTAGGCTGGACGATAAGCTGCAACGCAGGCTCCGATTCAAGTCCGTAACCCGTTGGCTTGTACTGAGGCCACTCGGGGCTGCCAGGGTACCTAAAAGTGTTGGGGTCGCCGGACAGAACGAAGCTGGACAGATATCCGTGGTAAATGTGGCTGACCTCGGGGTACTGTACCACCGGCTCGTCCCAAGTGTACTTGGTGTCGGCGGTATGCGGGATACCCCTCCACGCAGGCCACGAGTTGTTGGTGTTAAAGTGCAACTTCCACGTCGGCACGCCCGCGATGGAGGCGCGGTACGCCGTCTCCTGTCCAGCGCAGATGTATGCATAATCGCTCCATGCAGCCGAAAGGCGATTGTACTGCGTGCTGTTGGGAGAGTTGGCAAAGGGTGAATCTGGGTGTGTGGCGGGGTCCGGGTAGAGGTCCTCGAGGAGCTGGAGGTCGGTGCTGTTGAGGGCGGGGGAGATATTGTGGAGGTAGTCGAGGAACTCCTGGTTAGTCTCCTTGTCGCCGGCCATGTAGTACTTGGCCTCGTCGTTCACGTTGGAGGTGATGACAGGCACCTTGAAGAATGTACCGTCGTAGCCTGACTGCGAGCCAAACTTCTCCAGCAACGGTCCACCCTGCGTGGGCTGGAAGGGCCAAGTCAGAGCCGGGTCGTAGTCGTTATAAAGCTTGGTGCTGATGTTCCGGATCGCGTCGATATCCGCGGCACGGAGGCAGGCCAAGGTCGCGGCATTGTCGGCATCGAGCGGGCAGGAGAGGTAGTTCATGTACTCCTCATACTGCTTGACGTAGAGAGGGTATGTAGCATTGGGAAACGCACGGGCGGTAACGGCACCGGACTGGTGGATTGCTCTGGCGAAGAGTGGTTTGCCCTCATCCTCGTTGTAGTTATGGAAGTAGAGGATACCGACGGAGTGACCGCCAGCAGAGCGCCCACCGATAGTGACGGCCTCCGGGTCGCCGCCGAACGCGGCGATGTGCTTCTGCACGAACTGGAGGAAGAAGTGCTGGTCGCGCATGCCGAGGTTCAGCAGGCCCTCTTCGTCGAAGAGAGCAGACGGCAGGAAACCCAACGAGTTGATGCGGTAGTGGAAGTTGACGACCGTGATTGGCTCCTTTGAAGATGCGGCGAACGCAGCGCCATCGAAGCTCTTGTAGCTACCCGCGTAAAACGCGCCGCCGTGGATCCAGACCAGGACGGGTGTCTTCTGGTCGAGCGGGATGCCGCGCGTACGGTAGACGTTGAAGTTGAGGCAGGCCTCATCTTGTGTGCTGACATCGGTCGAGGTTGGGTCCTGGACGCAGGTCTTGCCGTACTTTGTCGCCGCCTTGGTGCCGTTGAAGGACGCGGGCCAGGTTACGGGGTTAAAGCGGCCCTCGCCGACCGGCTGTGTTGAGTAGTCGATGCCGAGCCAGGCGTCTACGGGGGCGGGGAGAGCGCGCCCGCTATAGGTCGAGTTGACGACGGTGCCGGTGAACTTGCCGTAGCCCTTGAGTTCAACTGGGTTGTACGCGGTGGCGGGCGAGATGGCGACTTGCGACGCCGCAAAGAGCGTGTTGAAGGACGTTGAGAACTTCATATTTGACGACGTGCTCGATCCCTCGTCTCCGAATGGGGCTGCTGCTGCTTGACCGCAAGGAAAGATGGTAGCAAGAGAGCACACCACTGCTAAGAGGCAGGGCCGGCCATCGCAGAGCTTTAAACGCATTTTCGAATCCCCTCGTCGGTGCTTTGCCCCTCCTCCTCTCTTTGCTATCGAGTAGACAATTTCCCAGCGACCCGCTCAGAAAGCAACCTCTCGCCGCTCGACGGAGACGGCGTTAACCCATTCGAAGCATTGATCAGTGAAGATGCGAGGTTTAACAGAGCTAGAACCCTTGACTCAGGCACCCGCAGAGCCCTCAGAGCGGAGAAGTCCCGAGCAACTGGCAATGAGCACGCTAGAATGGCGCGGATCGATGTCATTCAACGAGGGGAAAACAAAGTCGGGGTCGCTCCGATATCGTCGGCCTTCACATCTGGGGTCCGGGGACCCTGGGGTTTCTCAGTGATATCAGTGAATTCAGTGTAAGCAGCCAGTTGAAAGTGATTTAATGTGATAAGACGCGTGGATGACTAAATCAGCTAACGAAATATTCACCTAGGGGCCCCGCAATGTTATCCTTGATTGATGGGCCCAACCTCCCCGTCCAGGATGCTGGTCAACGACACAGATGGGGAGCTCCGGCTTGAATTTGTGGGGTCGACGATGGCTGTGTTGTTGAGGATAGGAGACAGGACATGATAACATAGTCTTGATACCAGAAACTTCCGTCACCCGATCCCATCTTCCGCGATCCGATATCTGTTATCACTGTTCTCTTGGGTTGAGGAAATCAGGCACACTCTTGAGTTCAGCTATCGCTGTGATCAAACTTGGGCTCAGGAACGAAAACCCACCAGCATGGCCGTGCGCTACAAACCATCACTAGGTCTCTATCATTGGCCAATTCATTATTTCGTGTCTTTTGACTAAAGCCATGTCCAAAAGTCTGGTCTATCTAGCCCGTCATCTCATCATCCTCGTCATCATCATCTTGTCCCAGCCCAGCTTCGATAAACGCCGCCCGAGTTCTCTCAACGGCCTGAACAAACTCTTCTCTACGAAAAGCATTGGGCCATCCGTGTTCGACGTACAGTCGCTTGATCTCCTGTACAACACGAGGAAATGTCTTGGTCAGTCACGAGTCTACATTTCCTGTTGCTGATGAACTCACCTGGCCTTCCTCGGTATACCCCTCGACAACTCTCGCCTCCCACTTCCCAGAGCGGGGCGCTGGCACAACATCCAAGTTGCCGACCTGGGCATAGATCTTGTCAAAGTAAGCCTGGATGGGGACCGGGTCCACAACAAGCCACTGCTGATCTGCGGGAACGTCCTCCTCGCGTTTGTCGAACTCGGTTCCGTAAGGGTAGATGCATCCTGTGATGGCCTATGCGTCAGCTTCACAGAGCACTTTTGAACCAAAACAGCTCTGCGCATAGTCCAGCTGACCTTGATTCGTATCGATCAACCACCAAATTCCCTCGTCCGCATGCGTCAACGAGACCATGTCCGCCGGCACGGGCCCATCAAATGGCGCAAAGCCAAGGTCCAAGAGCGCCGTGTTGGCAAACACTTCAGCGCCGTCGCCGTGAATCCCATTGGCGCCGCCGAACCACCGCCCGTCGCGCAGATACCGCAGCGGGAACGTCTCGGTATAAATCTCGACGGGGTCCGACTCTTCGTTTTCGTGGACGAAGGGGATGTGCCGCAGGAGATCAATGACGGTCTCGGAGCGGCCCATGGCCCGGAGAGCATCCACGCGGAGCTCCGTGTCGCTCCAGCCGGCGGCGGGAGGGAGTTCGATGGCTGAAACGTCCAAGTAGCCCATGCGCACCAGCAGCTCGTAGTGCCGCTTGAGGCAGTTGACGACGACGTCGCGATCGTAGCTAGTCATTTTTTTTCGATTCTTGCTTATCCTGCTTTGGCTGAAGATATTAGGCCGATGTGATAAGCAGACGATGAGGAGTTGGAGAGCCTTGCAGATGAGATTTTTACTGAGCGGTCCCTTTGTGGGGCATATCATTCGAGGCCCAAATGGACTGGTCCCTCACTGAGCCAATGACTGGATTCGGCGATTATGTTTGATCCCGTCTACATGGTGTTTTGGCATATCACCTCGAGCAATTCTTGATATCTTGCCTACGCAAATTAAGTTTCATCATGAAAACTACATTGTACCTTTTATCTTCACTGCGCAGCAAGTGGACTTACGGCTGTACCACGACGAGAAGGGGGTCATGAGTAATGCTTGCAAGCTTGTTCTTAGGGTTAAGAGAGTGAGTTGAAGGCGACCATTTTTGAAAAAGACCCGAACCTTCACCAGTCCACGCAACCAGCAAAGACCCGATCGCCGGTTCTGAAGATCACATTACCCACATCGAGTGTGGCTTACTTCAGTTTTCTCGTATTTCTGGAGGCTGTGACCGAAGGGTGAATGCGAGATTCGGTTCCCTAGTAATTGAACTTGCCCAGGTACTTCAAAGGGTAATGAAGTTCACCTCTTCATTTCACATTACTTATTCACAGCTCATGAGCCCGAAGACATACTGCAGTTAACTTAACACTTCCCATTTGCGACACCGCTGTTAAAATCTGCATGACCTACTTTAATATTTTCGGCGGCATCTCTCATGAACTCATTCGATTTGTATCAGCCAGTGGCTCTACAGGATCTCAGCCGAACTTAATAATAATTCTGGTGAAGTCGCGTAGACAGGAAGGCATTCGTATGGATCATGAGTTTTCCTCCTTCGGTTTCATATTACGGGCGGTGTCGTGAGTTGAGTCGCGAATATGAGTCACCCTCAATCGCGAGCTATCATAGAGCTGCAGCGCTGGAATTTAATGCACTGCAGCTACTAATAGCGGATATTTAATCCACCGATTTTAGCACCTCACATATCTCTCACATCATTGCTGCAGCACACAATATCATCACATACAAGTCTAAGAAACAAACCCTCGAGAACCACGCTCTACTTTACACCACGTAGACGAGTACTGAGACTCATCAGTCATAATGGCAACGGTACATACCTCCGTCCCGGAGGGTCTCATCCCTCTCCTGGAATCCCACCTCCCAAACTCCCTCGTCCTCCTCCGCCGCCTCCAATTCACCCGCTTCAAAGACGGCATGCGCCCAACAGCCCGCATCATCCTAGCTTCAGACGCACCACACCCTTCTACTGCCTCGCAACAAGATGCCGATGCATCAGGTCAAGAGCCACGGAACTTCTGCGCAGCATACCTCGACTTCGGCAGCACCAAAGAAACCCAACTCTTCATGTACTCAACAGTCGAAAACGCCCCCGACAAAACTCTCGCGGACGCGGACAAGAAAACAGCCGAATCCCAAATCGCAGCAGTCCTCGATGCTGTAACACAAGTGAGCAAACAACAACCAGACAATAGAACGCTTCCCGGTGCATGCCTCGCCGGAACCCTCGCCACACCCACGCGGGACGCCATGCTCCGAGCCGGCGTGCGCGTGACACCTCGCCAGGACTACGAGTATGAGAAATGGCTGTTCCGCGTCGATGACATTCCGGATTTCGAGGACCGAGTGACGTTGCCCGAGGGAGCCACGTGGGGCCCGGCTACGGAGAGGGACTGTGAGATTGTGATTTCCAGGACGGATATCCCGCGTCAAGTGTGAGTTCTTATCGGCCTCCCTGTATCTTTCTTTTTGTCAAGTTGTTTTGGAACTTGTCAGAGATGGACACAATGGCTGACAACTAGATAGAAAGACGTTGATGTCGTGGCCCAGTTTGTTTCTCAAACTAGAGGATGGAACGCCTATCGCATGGTCATTCCTCGGTGAGTTTTTCAATCCGTTCTAGATACGCAAGGCGTCTTACATTCATCGCTCCCGCCACGATCTGTTTACATACATCACCCACCACTCCTCGGAAGCATCATAACTCTCTGACTCCTGCGTAGGCACCGATGCATCGTTATCAAGTCTCCACTGCGAGGTAAGTTGTGCAAAATACCCAAACCCAACACGAAGAGGATACTGCAATACTCTTCAATCATGATCTTTCAGTCTAACACAAGACCCCGCTCAGCCACCTTACCGACAGAGAGGCTACGCAAAGGCTCTGGCGTCGAAGTTGATCAAGAGAGGTACGAGCGAGTACGGCGCCGATGGTTGGGCGTCCGCCGACGTGGCGCCGTATAACACGGGGAGCAAGAAGATGTGCCAGAGTCTCGGTGGGAGACATACCTGGAACGTTTCGTGGTGAGTCATTCCGTTTCCTGCGTAGTAACATGGTTCATCTAACGGTGAAGCGGCTAGGAATGTCATTCATCTTCACGAGGTATAGACGAAGATGTGAAGGAAATCGATCTAGAAGTTTGCTTCATACTACCAATCACCTTGTAGATGTATATATCAGCCACCTTATAAATTACGTTGATGTAAGGTAGTCAAAGATTTACCTAGACAACCTGATTGGTAGACAGATACTGCGATTGTTTCCAACGGAATCGACCATTGTTGGGCAGTGATGTGGCAGATAATATTCGCGAATTATCCAGTAAAGAGAAACGGTGATGGGTAATGAAGTGTTATTTTTGCGTTTTCCCTTGATATGTCCTACTCCGAAAAGACTGCCAGCTCCAAGAATCAAGTCTTTTGGCTTTGTGCACCTCATTTCTTCACCAAACCCGCTCCGGTCCCCAGGAGCACCCGCATCCCATTGAAAAAAAACTCGAATCCTCAACTCCGGTACAATCCCGCCGGTGACAGCTGTTTGATAACCAATCTCTACCGCCACAACCTCCCAATATTTCCTCCCTCGGAGATGCACGATAGTGGGGTCCCCGGCTCGTTGACAGCTCCAGGTTCCCACTAAGCTAAACCGGATGAACGGTTGTGGTGGGGTGGCATGTCTCGGTCAGAACCTAAGAGTATTGCCAACCAACCCCATCCGGATCTGCAACGGGTGTGGAAGATGCCGCCCTCAACAAGAAAATTTTGCCCATGTCGCGATGAGCGCCATGCAGCGCGCGCACACAAACGGTAGCCGTCGAGAGCCGAGACTCCATCCGTGAGTCACCCGTGGGCGAACGCTCCGGTCCACCCCTCCTCATCCCATCTCTCCTGTCCCATTCAACCCCGCACTGGGACAGCGTACAGCTTCCCAAGGTAGGTCGGTCGGTCGGTCGCAACTTAGAAGTCGGCACCGGGAAGGTGGTAGAGCTTCTGAACGTCGTGCAGCATCTTCTCGTGATCAATCTCCAGGTCCTTGAGGAGACCGTCGTTGAAACCAAAGACCCAGCCGTGGACAATGGGGAACTTGTTCTTGGCGTACGACTGCTGGATAGCAGCCGTCTTGATGACGTTGCGGCACTGCTCGAGAACGTTGAGCTCGACGAGCCGATCGTAGCGAGCATCCTCCTCCTTGATGGCGTCGAGCTCAGCCTCGTGCAGGCGGTAGACGTCGCGGATGTTACGCAGCCAGGGGTTGAGCAGACCGAGATCCTTGGGAGTCATGGCGGCCTTAACACCTCCGCATCCGTAGTGGCCACAGACGACGATGTGCTTGACCTTGAGGTGGCGGACGGCATAGTTAATGACGCTCATGACGTTGAGGTCAATGTTATTGACCATGTTGGCAATGTTGCGGTGGATGAAGGCTTCACCGGGCTCGAGGCCGGTGATTTGCTCGGCGGGGATGCGCGAATCGCTGCATCCGATCCAGAGGTACTCGGGAGCTTGGCCCTGGGACAGGCTGACGAAGAAGTTGGGGTCCTGCTTCTTCTTCTCCTCGGCCCATTTGCGGTTGTTCTCGAAGACGCGGTCGTGCGTCTGTTTGAGGTACTTCTCAATGTCGCTTTCGGCCATCTTGCGGTCGGGTCTGATAGAAGGAGGGGTAGACGATGACGATGATGGCGGTGCGCGTTGATAGGCGATGTGGGAGAAGCTGGAGGTACGGTGGTTGTTTAGGTGTTGATGCTGAGATCCAAAGGTGGTGTTGGTGAATCTGAGAAGAGGACGTGAAGGTTGCGCAGGGGAGGAGAAGAGGCGGGAAGGGAGGGAGCGCGGGAATGGGCTTGCTTTAAACATTAGAGGGGATTTATTTATGGAAAGATCGAGAGAGGAGAGTGCGAAGCTAATGGAGGAGTCCTAATGGAGGATGTAGCTCGGTGTTTGCTGCAGGTAAGCGGACCTTTGAGCTGGCGGGCGGGCGTGGAGGTTGTTAGATCGGAGCAATGGCAGCCAAGGAAACCCAAGATGAAGGAAATGTCGCACCTTTCCTTCTTCCCACGGAAGATTTGTTGGGAAGCTCCGGCGATCGCGCACCGTTGGCGGCTGCACGCGCTGCCGCTAGTTACCAGAGGGCCACAGAGACCACAGAGGAACCACAAAGACGTCACTGCGCACCTCAGCGTTCAGGACGGTGTCGCGGACGGTGCGTGGACGGTGCGGCCTCCTTCTCGATAGTCCGGCGCTCCGGGCGGGTTGTTGGGGTGACGGGCAGGCTAATTGCTGTTCAACTTGGGTCAAGATCATCGTGGATGGGGACCTCAGCCACGGCGGATGACTCAATTCCTCAATAGAAATACAGTGCAAAAGGGAAAAGAGCCGGGGGAGAAATGTTGATGCCGGCAGATGCGATGGTAATCTTGGCGAAACGGATGAGCAAAGGTTGATGATCTAGCTTCTGATTGCACATGTACCCAGTCAAAGGCAAGGAGCAACGGGACGGGAATGATCGATCTCAGATGGCTAGATCTGATTGATTATCTTCCACTTATCCTCGAGTACCTTATGATAGGATGCAGAGCAGCGATGATCCCGCCAGGCTATAGAGCAATGGCCACACAAGTTTCAACCATCTCGACTGCTAAGTTTCAACTGCCACTCTCGATCTCTTGGCTTATAACACCCGACGGGATATTATCCGGCCTATACTCCAGCCACGACGGCCAATTCTCCTTACCTAGGCTGTCCTCCATTGAGTCTTTCAGCCGCGATTGGCATGTGCAGATACCGGGTCATCTTCCGAGTTTGCTTGAGGCAGACAGAGAAATATATACTCGCAGGCTACTTCCCGGCTGGCCAAGCCTAGCCGCGCATCAGTGCGGCACGATCCCGAAAACCCGGCACAACGGTCCCGAAGAATGCCCGGGTGTCTCCACAAATCCCGATGATCCGGCACCAAATGGCACCGGCAGTTGCCCCTCTTGGCCCGGTCGCCAACCCGTTCCATCTGAAGCACCGACTCGCTTCGCCAGAGAAATCCCATCAAAGTGCCGAACCTTGCAGATGATACCCCCCCATTACCTCAAAACTCAACGGGTCGCCGCGGACGTGTGAACGAGCGCATCAAGGGGACCCAGCGGGGTGTGCAAGCGCCAGGACCTCCATGGGCACAGTGCCGACTCATGTTACCGTCCTCCCTTCATCACTCAAATCCCTCTGAGCAGCTCAAGCCCCAACGGTCCCCGGAAACTGGGCCATCACGACGGCACGCAACCAACACGCCCAAGGGTCTCGCCAGCAGAGCCACTCTGCGCACCCGGTCTGATCACTCAGTCCGGTGAGAAACGAGACTGCTTCTCGCTCTTGAAACCGGAACCAGGGGGGAACCCCTGCATTGTCAGTGTGCCGGCGCCGGTAAGCTTGTTGCCTTTCTCGGCCGACGCCACCACTTGTTCGTCTTGTCATCCACCAAGAGCCTCACAGAGCTACGGGCACATCCTTCGATCCTAGGCGGTCAGTAGTTGCTGTCACGATGAAAGACGGCAGCATGTACGGCAGCCAAAGAACCACCACCGAGACGTTGAGAACCCAAAAGATGTTCACTGCCTAGAGTGACAGAACATTGAAGATGAAGTACTTCACGTTACTCGCAGCACACTTGCCACGAAGTTTCCTGGTTGCATTGCAGGTCGCTCAGGTTGAAGGCAAACTCATCACCGTTTCAAGACGAGGAAACAAGGCGTCCCGTGAGCGCAAGTCACGCATGATAAGCAGTCGTCGCATTCTTGCGTACCAATGTCCAGTGCTGATTCCTGGTACATAACCATGGCAATCCCTCACTTACGTTCCCTGACTTTGACTTGCTCCTCGAGTGAATTTTCATTTCCTTCATAGATGCCACCAGTTGGCACTTTATATTAATACAACCTTCGTTCTGGTAAACGAGTCTTTTCTCTGGTATACGAATAAAGCCATGGTCGCTTTGGACTTCTCAAGAGGCCTCGGCCTGGCCGCCACAGTCTTGGCTCTATCACAAGCAGTCAACGCCGCCATCCTTCCTCGGCAGAGCAATGATGCCCTTCGACCTTGGGTGACGGTCCAAGCCGACGGCGCAGCCAAGACCATCACCCCGACCGTCAACGACGGCAAGACCACGTCTGCCTTCACGGGCAGCTCTACTCTCCCCACGGCCGATGCCAACGGCGCCGGGTCCTTCCTTTCATGCAACCAGGCTGCGGGAGCCAACGGCGTCAATCAGCCCTTTTGCTCTCCCAAGGCTGATACTAAGGTTGATGGAGGCAAGACCTATTGGAGTAAGCATCTCCTTCACAAAGTGAATTCAACTTGTAAACAAACACTAATACGGAATCTAGTAACATGGGACACCAGTCTCTTCCCCTTGCCCAATACAATGGTTCAAGTCCAGGGTGACTACGGCGTCACAAACGCCATCGACCCAGGCCACGGCTTTACCTCCCAAATGCTCCCCGCATCCCAAGGCCACTTCGCCTGGGCAGCGGTAGGTTACAACATGGCCGCCAACGAATCTCTCACCGTCCAAATCTTCCTCGCCCTCCCGCAGACCAACGGCTCCATCACCGCCCGTCACCCAGGAGCCAAGGTCAGCATCGTCAACCGGCCACAAAACGACAACAGCAACCAGAGACGCCGCGGACCCAACGTGTTTGGTATCGTTCTCCCCATCGTCTTTGGCGTGCTTTCACTGGTCGGCATCGGCTGGTTCGTGTGGTGGTACGGCCGCAGAAAGGGCATGTTCTCCTCCCGCGGCGGAGGCTACGGTGTCGGCAAGAGCCGTGGCCAGAGAACGGCTGACGTCAAGATTGGTCTTGGAGACAATGCGTTCTCGTCGCCTGATCGGGGTGTTGAAATGATGCCGCCCCCGCCGAGACCGCCTCCGCCTTCGGAGGGTAATGTCTTCCGTAACGAGATGAGTAGGCAAGAGAGAAACGAGAGGGCGCAGACCATGATGTGAGACTATAATTGTTACCACTGAAAGAATGACAGACACACAGATTGTATGGCTATCAGTTTGACACACATTCACTTAGTTCGGCTTGAGGTGTGAATGGGCGGCAAATTAAATCTCGATTCAACATAATAATACCCATTTCGAAAAAGAACAACCAGATAATTACCCAAGAAAATCATTGAAGATGTTCCATAAAGCAAAACTTGCATTTAAAAGACATGACAGTGAAATGAGAGCCTGATTCATCATGGATCGTCTTCAAAATTTGAATTCGAGGCCAGCGACAGGGGAATATTCGCTACTAAACGCTTTCCTGTTGCATCTTGTGGTTATGTCTTAAAGGCAGGCATGAATCAGCGCTCACCACCAACGCCGCAGAGCCAAGATGTATGAGAGCAATGAAAAAAAATTCAAAGTAACTTCCCAAGGTGATTCAATCACTCGTCTCATATGGAAAAGTTCTAATGCAGAAAGCCGAGGTGGGCTATGGGAATCATCACCCAAATCGATGCTGGAGATCTCACCGAGCCCTTTCCACGGTGAACGATTCACCGAAACCAAAAGAAGACTGGCGCACTTTCGAGGGTGGATACGATGGCGGGCTTGACGGTCCACTCAGAGGCTTCCAAAAACCACTGAGAGATGCCGATAGGCACAGACCACCCCAGGGTTTACAAACCCCAATCACCCGGGAGGACCCACCCACCGGAAATTCTGACGGCGCATTTCGAATTCCGTGTGGTCTGCCGCGATCGACTTTGTGAACTTTTTCTCTCTTCCTGACCCCGTCCGTTACAGCATCGACTAACCCGACCGTCAACCACCCCACGACAACAGTCAAGATGTCCGCCGCCCTGAACAAGATCGCTGCCAACAGCCCCTCGCGGGCCAACCCCTCCGAGCTGGAGCAGAACATTGCCCAGGCTCTGTACGACCTCGAGAGCAACACCGCCGACCTCAAGGTCGCCCTCCGCCCTCTGCAGATCGTTTCTGCCCGCGAGGTGAGAACTACCTGAAAGCGACAATCCCAAAGCCCTGAAGACTCCCGAACCCGCGAATTCTCCGGAATCGAAAATCCTGTTCCCAGCCGCCACGGAAATCCAAGCACGAAGAGCCACGAATATGGGCAACACCCCACCCAATTGACGAGCGCGGTGCGAAGCAATGGAATCCCCGAAGCCTTTCTCTCGATTGAAACACATCAGGATTGAAGAGGACTAAAGGGAAAGAAGTTGCTGGCATTGGCATCGCGCGTTCCAGTCTTGGGAGGTGCCCATCGTTGGTGTCTTCAGCTTCACCGTGGCGGCGGAGATTTGAACGCTGAAAAGAATGATAATCTCAGGAACAGGACGGGAAGCGGTCCAAGGCATCGTCCTGGAGCTCGCATGCTGACTTGTGATCTTCCTATAGATCGAGGTCGGCCACGGCAAGAAGGCTATTGCCATCTTTGTCCCCGTTCCTTCCCTGCAGGGCTTCCACCGCGTCCAGCAGCGGTAAGTTTCTCCCTTTCTCTTCCCATACCTACTCCGTCCAATACTAAGACCATTCCTAGCCTTACCCGTGAGCTCGAGAAGAAGTTCTCCGACCGCCACGTCCTGATCCTGGCCTCCCGCCGCATCCTGCCCCGCCCCAAGCGCTCCGCCCGCTCCCGCAACAACCAGACCCAGAAGCGCCCCCGCTCCCGCACTCTCACCGCCGTCCACGACGCCATCCTCACCGACCTCGTCTACCCCGTCGAGATCGTCGGCAAGCGCCTCCGCACCAAGGAGGACGGCTCCAAGCTCCTCAAGGTCATTCTCGACGAGAAGGAACGCGGCGGTGTTGACTACCGCCTCGACACCTACTCCGAGGTCTACCGCAAGCTTACCGGCCGCGGTGTCACCTTCGAGTTCCCCCAGTCTGGCTCCGCCGAGTACTAGATTATCGTATCTAGTGTCTTGCGCATTGGGCGGGTGTTTGGTGAAAAATTAAAAAAGGAATCATGGTCAATGATGGGTTTGGCATTTAGTCTGCTGCAATGAAGGCATGGCAATGACTGGTTGATCAAAAGGGTCTGGCGTCTACAGGGATATAAACTTGGGCGATTCCATTACAGGCTGCCCAAAAAATGCATATACCAAAACACTTGACCGCTCCTTCTTAACTATCTGTTCCCGTCTCTTCGTGATTACGTCCATCGTGCTTGAAGCCATTGCCTAATATGTAAAGGAATTGGGGGTATCATTTTTCATTTGGCATTAGTCTAGTCCTGGTTGATGCGTCCAACCCCCAAGACACACCAGTAGGCCAGCTCCCTCTTTTCCCTCGCCTCCTTCTCCCTGCTTGTCGCAGTACCGACGTCGCCTTGAGCTTCCGTCTCCCACTCGATGCGCACAAACATGGGTATCTCCAACACATCCTCGTCCTCCCGCAAAGCACTATCACCACCTGGCTGCTGCTCAAGCCTCAACGAAGCCGGCACGACCTCCAGCACGATGCTCACCCAGTTGCGGCCGCGCTCGTAAATCTTGCCCACCTCAGCCTGCTGCATCCCGCCCTCTTCCCCTCTCCTGCGCTCCTTATCGCCGTCATCCTTGAGGGCGTCGTCCCACATGTCCGTGTTGGCATCAATCTCGAATTGCGGGCAAAGCACCGTCACGGTGCTGGCGAACCGCCCAGGCGTGCTTGACGGGGTGGCCAGCGACACCTTGACCGTCTCGAAGATGGGGTTCTTGAAGGTCAGGAGATACTGCACGGGCTTGAGTGGCGTAAGCCACAGTTCCTGGGGTATTGGCGGCCGAGCGGTCGAGGGGAGGTTCTGGACCTCCGACTGCAGCGGTCGGATGGTGATTGTGGGGATGTAGCTGCCGGCCACGAGGCGGATGCGGAACCGGGTGTTGGAGATCTTTGCTTCCGGCTTGCTGATGATGTGTCTGCACAGCGGGCATCTCTTGGATCGCTTGGTTCTGAGGAGATAGGGAATGGGCCGGAGCTGGTCACGGAAGCGTACGTGGTCTTGCTGTAGGCAATTCTGGGCTAGAGTCGTTGTGTCGTCGGGATGCGTATGTCTGAGTTTCTCAATCTCTTTCGACTCGTCTAGGTCGGTGGTCTTCAAGCCCTCGTCAGGACTGACGGCCTCCCTCATGATCTGCACCTTACCGCGAGCCTGTTTATTGCCAAAGTTGTTCCCAGTGTATAGACTCATGATGCGTGAGAGTGAGCCAGGCGAGTTGAGGCCCAGATCACCTAGTGATGATAGCCCACCCGCTGAGGGGTTCGAGCCGGCCATCTGGTTCTGGTAGAAGGACTTGAGCTGCGCAAACTGCAGTTCGGCATCCATGTCCTCCGGGTTCAAGTGGTATTCCCCATTGCTCTCCTTTTTCCTCTCCTTGTGCTCCTTGGGAGTCAGCTTGGGCTGGCCTCCATTCTGCAGCTTGGCCAACTGCCCGTGGATGCCATTGGGTCGGTCGAATTTGACTCCAATTTCGGTTGAGCTCCAATTACAGTATGAACATGACAGCACGTAGGAAGCGCCCTGAGGAGCCGTTCCATCAGCCGTGAGAAGGTTGCTCTCGGGCGGAGTATCGAGAGCCGTAACAGCGAGGGGACCAACGCAGACGGGACATTGGAAGCAGCTTCGTGTGCACCTGCGATAGTGTTAGCCAACGCCGGAACTCTCAACCAAAGCAAACCCTGCGCATACCTGTTGCCTTCGCTTTTGAGGTTGCTGCTTGGGACCTCAAACAAGCAATTGGGGCAGTAGTAGGTGACAATCTCCTCATTGACGCATCGCGGGCACCGAATTTGGTGACAGTCTTCGCAGTACATCAGATGCTCCAAAGGATAAAGACTGAAGTTGGCGCGCGGGGCGCGCGGGTCGAATGTCCGCTCATCGTCCTCTGGGCTTCCCGGCGTTGACGACCCGTCCTCGCTGGACTGGTGAGTCTCGGAGCAGGGGCAGCGGATGTAGGTGTAGGGGGTCAGAGGTGCCATTTTCGCTCCGACATAATGCTATGCGGAGTGAATTCCGGGATTGATGAGTGTGTGGTTTGCCACGAGGAGAGGAGGGCGACTGTGCCGCGCAGAAAGGCTCGAGGAAGGGCGTTTGAGAGTCTGCACGGAGCTGTCTCCCGGACGCGACAATGCTCCTCCTCACCGAAATCCCGCGCGACCAGAGCCCAGGAGTGTGGGCTGATAAGACCGATAAGAAGGTGAGCCTCTTGTTATCGATAAGATCAACCACTGACAGATAAGCCCTTACGTAAGCGGCCTCGAATGATCCCACCCTCCAATTCGGCTCTCCAGACTCAGGACTTACATGGAAGTTCAGCTTGGTCCCTCTGAAGGCTGCTGTTAGCCTTCAGTCCATCGCCTATTATTGCGCTCGACTGCATGGGAAAATTGCCTATTGAACCGAGAAAACTCTCTCTCTGGACGGACATTATTGATCAACATGCTTCAAGCTTGTCAAACCCACGCGAGACCGAGAACCGGTTCTTGTCAAACCATCGTCGATTCCTCGCCAAGAACGCCCTGAGGACGCTGTCACCACTGTCACCTCACTCCTCGCCACGGGCTTCATGTCTTCAATGATAGATTTCGGTGTCTCCGGTTGGGGATTCGAGAGGCTTCCCGCATCTGGATTATAAGACTTGCACTTGTCTTAAGCTTCTCTCTGCCGTCCGCCATGCCGGCGGCCAGCTTCGCTTGGCGCACTCCGACTCGTCTGCGGTTTCCTTTTACCGTTCACCTTAGTTCCACTGGGCTGGGTCTTCTTTCTTCAGCTTCGACGTTTTCGTTGCGGCCCGGCGCTGCACTAATTGATAGCGGTCCAGACTTCCTCGAGTGCGACAGGATGCCAAAAGCCAGCCGCGGGGGTCTGGGTCGTGCAAGCCCTTCCGAAGCGAGCGAGGGCTGAGAGGACATGGGTTATGGTTGGGCTTGTCTGGCCTCCGGTCCGGTGGTGGACAGGAGCCCTTGCTAGGCGGTGGGATCCGCCTCCGGAACTCCTTTGTGCCTCACGACCCTGAGCCGATTTCTGGAAAGATGACTGTTGCTCCGCATGAGGGATGGCTGGACTTGGACGATTGTGGTCAGCGCAGCTTCTGCCTTGCAGATGCCCTGCATCCCCTCTTGGAGCCGCTGTTCCACGCAGGGCAGAGGCCCGTCAAGGCGTCGATGACTGTGCATGGGTGTAAGTGGCCATGTCCTTTTGCAGAAAGTCAACGCCAGTGTTTTGGGTCCCGAATAACTCGCAGCTTTCGTCGAATCTGTTGCGCGAGGCACACCGGCGATGGAAATCTCGGGTCGGAAAATATCTATCTGAAGTCGAGAGAGCGCGGCCAGCAACAGTCCTGGGGCTGGCCCCAACCACGGGAAAGAGGGTTTTTCTGTCGGCCGACGGCATGAAGCTAGGGAACCCAAACGCACGCTCATCGTTCCATGGCGATGGTTCTCTAACTTGGTCTATCCTGGTAGATCCCGAGCACCGGCCATCACTAGCAACTGTCTGGTTCGGTAGCACAATATCGGTCGCAAGTGAGAGAGACGGAGAGGCACGAAGTTAAACCTATCTGTACTACAAACAGTAATAACGGAAAGCGGACTGATCTAGCGACGATGGAGCGTCCATGGCGGCCGACCTTTCAGGATTCCCCATCCACATCATGGAGTTTCCCGCCGTGACGAATACCCTCATGAGGGGTGACGTTCTTTGGTCCCGATGCTGTCTATCACCAGGCCTACGTGGGTGCAAGACCCAGGTTCAATGTTGCCTCTCGACAAGATGAAGACGGTCAATTTCAATCCACACCTCCCGGATGCGATCGTGGCCGTTATATCACCTTGGGATGACTTCACATCTTGGCCGCCGTGTGACTGATGATTCAGCAGAAGAAAGCCGATTGCGATCGTCCCAAGACAATTAGCAAAGGGAAGTCCAGCTCCCGGGGGTTTAGTCGCCAATTTTCATGAGACATTGCTCAATCGAGCAAGCGGGACGCGACTCTGACCAATCATTGAGCTTCTTTGTCGATGCAAGCCAACGCCGAAGGATGCATCGAGGACGGCGATCCCCAAAGACATGCCCCCGGAGTTTGGGCTGATGGTGGGCAGAGGCAAGCCAGCATCGACGCTTTGCATCACCACCCTATCACTAGCATTCCACAAATGTCACAGGGAGAAGGGACTGCATACGCAAGAATGCTCATACCAGCGAGGAAACAAATCACATCTGGCGCCTTGCCGATCACTTCAACGTCGACTACCTAGGGTTCCGTCACAACAGCGTTTGTGGAGACGCAGAGACTGTTTGAGACCTCCAGACATCATACGTCGCCGTTGAAAGGCAAAATAATTCCTCTCGCCGTCCTTTTTTGCGAGAAGTCGGCTCACGGACGGGGAGCCTGCAGTGGCACAGCCTGGAGCTGACGGATGCTGCAGCAGCAGTGTTCCTCAGGAACAGACTCACTACGCCTGTATGCGTATGCTGCTGCACAGAGTCTGAGAAGTTTGAAGAGACTGCCAGCGCATCAGAGCTGTGGATGACAGGCACATTTGCTTGGCCGTCCTCGAAGAAGCTGCAGACCAGGGTAGGGTCCGGACTGAGGGGTTCACCCATTGCTCTAGTGGCGGCCCGGTCTAAAACATGGCTTGGAGCTATCCCTCTGTCTCCCGCCGCGTCACTCGACACTCTACAACAGGCAGCTCGGACCGTGGGCAAGCTGGCGGGTCTTTGCCAGGACGCAGCCCAGTCCCGGATTCTGGGTCAAGTCAGTTCTTGATCCGGGACAAGTGACATAAAGCCATCCAGACGCCCACCCGAAGACGTTTTGTAAGGTTTTCGGCGTCCATTTCCCCATCCAACCACAGCTCTTTTGCTCATCCGGACCGGCTGCTTTCGACCAGGTTCGACAAGGCCGTGGACGAGTGACGATCTCAAGTCATTGTTCACTGCTACGGGCGTACTGGGTACATCCGCTAGCTACCTCAATCACTTCAGTGATCAACGCAGATCTGACAGGGGTTCTTGTGGACTATTGGCGGTCCGGAACACCTCCTCTGCAGTCATCGGCGCCATCCACTGCTGTCAGCTCTCAATCTGGGTGAAGCTCTCTGGCCGGATTTAGCTGAGTGCTAAGGCTTCCCGTCACGGGAGCTATTCAACGATCGCCCATATCAACGTATTTGATCCCGCGACTTGTCTCGCGCTTGGAGTCTCACAATGTACGGTCGACGAGATTCTCGAAAACGAATGTCTCTACCACCCACTCGCACAATGTCAACAACATCAACACAAGGCTGGACGCCTAAGACGCTTGGGAACCCTATTATCGAGGGAAGGATGCCTCAAAATTCAAAAGTCAAGAGGTGGGACGGAGCAGCAAGGTCTTGCAGTGATTGGGATAATCTGAGAAGAGTAAGCTGATCCTTCCTATCGTGACGAGAGAAATTCAGCTAGCGCGATGTCTCTTGACCTTGAGATTATTCGCTAACGTTGTTGTCTCAGGACCCTGAATTATGGTTTCGCGGTGGAAACTGCTTCGTACACTTGTACGGCAAGGGGCAGTCCCGCAGAGGACCTGCATTTAAAGTACCATTCGGTGCTTTGCTTTCAGCAAACTGCCATCCGTTTGTCAAGAGATTTATGGCTCGCGACATGCCTGAGACGCCAGGTTCATTCCATGACCAGTATGATGATTTGGACCGGTGGAATGCTCTCAACCCCAACGAGCGGATCGAGCTCTACATTCCAGCACCCCCGATGGCAGACAAGGAACAGGCATTTTCTTACCATCTCGCAACGAGAAATTTCTTTGCGTGGATCTTCCGACGCTCAGTGGTCGGCGAGCACCTCGGCACCGCACTCATCGGGCTTCTCAACAGCATGGCGGAGTTCAGAGGCAACGAACAGGACAACGTGTCGGATCTCACTTCTTACTTAGATGAAGAGGGCTACTACGACATCAAGGGTCTGCCGCAACACGCACTTGCTATGCTGCATCTGGCTGAAGTCTTCCAATTGAGAGACCTGTACGTCGACGCATTCAGCCACTGCGTTGGAATGAGCGAGGAGCTCTTCTACAGTCCCGAGTATCAGGTATGTTTCGCTTATTTCTAACGGCTGCACGTTTGACTCATAGAACATAGCACATTGGCTCGGTCTCTAAGACGCTGATTCGACGGGCGCGGACTGAGATGAATTCTAGACTCAGTCAAGCAGGTGGCATGCTTAAGAACTTCCTGGAAGAGGAGCTCTCTGAGACACATCTTGGCCTTCCAGCAGGCGGACGTGCCCACCTGGACCGATTCCGATCCTTTATCCAATCATTTTACACGACAAAGTTTGGCTATTACCCGCCATTGTCCTTCGACACTCGCAGTAGCACCATCTTCGACCCTGAGATTTTCAGTACCATGTGCAAGGATTTCAAGGCCGTTTATGACTTGCTCGTAGACGAGGAGTTCACTTCAATCGAGAGCAGCCCGCTCCTTGCGCAAGGCGGGATCTGCGCCGTGCAGAGCGTTCAGGAATTCGATGAGCGATGCAACTTCAAGTCTCTGAGGCATCCGCTGCCATTACTGCCCGAGACTGTCAGCGACAAAGCATCCCGTCGCATGTCACTACAGTGGTTGGCGAACACCGCGCGAGGCGACAAGCTAAAGCCTGACCAACGCCTAGTGGCCCACAGTGCCATGATCAAGGCAATGAACATGCGTGACCCAGCACTTTTGGACAACGACTTTGTCCGCGCCTACCGGAAGTTTGAAGAAGACTCCGTTTCACCTCTTATTCGCGTCGATAAGGCCGAGAAGATTAGTCTCGTGGACGCCCGCAAGGTGCGCTGGATTCTGATTTACGCGGTGTACCAAGTGCTCCTCAGCTGCACACAGGCGCCATCAGAAGTTCGCGACACTGGTGCGGACTATCACCTCGCAGTGTCTTGTGAAAAGCTGCCGCCCTGGAAGGAGGGACGCCAATTGCAAACCCTCCTGCGCAAGCAGACAGACATCGCAGTCGATACTAAGCGATCGCAATCCGTCACGGACTGGGCAACGGGCTGCCATGGCACACCGTCTGTGGTTGTGTCGCCGACTATCGAGATTCGACCAGACGTCGACTACACTGCCAGATCCCGCCGCGACGAAATAGCCTCTCGTCGGCAGTCAACATGCGGGGTCCCACCCGCGGCGGCCCCGGCCCGCTCACGGAGCAGGAGCTTGTCCCGCAACAACCCCTTCCGACGATCCCTCAGCATCTTCCGCAAGCTGGAGGAGCAATGTGCTCCGGCACCCCGCAAGGCATCATACTGCGAGATCGTGGTCCACGGTTACGGCAACGGCACCAATGCTGTCAAGAAGTGGGAGGGTCCTCCCGCAGAGGTCTCGCCCCGGACTCATGTTGCACCGCGTTCCTTCTCGACTTCCTCAGAGTCCAGCGGCGCCTCTGAGGCTCCATCGATGGGTGGTCACAGCTACGCGACCATCGACTCCACGGCGCCGCCGACCTCGCCCGATGCGCCGAGCAAGAATTGGCCGAACCAGGAGTCGCCTATGCTGAGCCCCGTTCCTCTGCGTGGTCGTCGGCGCATGAGAAATGTGCTTTCCTTCGCGGGGACGCCGCCCCGTGCCAGTTCTTCGGAGTGGACGGTAAATAACCGGCGTCACAGCGTTATCGGGGGCGGCGCTGGTAGCTACGCTCATGACTATGAGGAGCTGATTAAGGAGCAGGAGGCAGACTTCCACCGTCATGAGCTGGAGCCTCTTCCCCTGCAGATCCGCAAGTCTTCGATCCCGATCCATGAGTCCCCGGTATTGGGGCAGATGGATGTGCAGCCTGTGTGGGAGCAGTTCAAGGACCTTGGTGGTCTTACTAGCTGCTCCCCTCTGAATATCTAGACCGGCTGGGTGTACTGAGTACTACTCCGGCCGGAATGTACGAATGGTAGTGGCACGCTACCACTGGTGTTGTTTTCTTTGTATGTATTGATTTGGAAATGACGAGATACCCTGTCGCACCCTCCTTATACAGGCCTGCGTATGGCGATGATTGATATGAGCGTTGAGGTTAGGCAAGGAGTTTAAGCCTGGACTGTTATGGCACGTTGTACAATATTCTCACTGGAAAATCTGAAGAAAAGAGAACGAGATGAGAACGGGCTGCTTACACCTGAACGGTGACTTTCATATCACAGATGACGTCCGATGAGACGAGGCCATTTTTGGACTGAACGTGTCTACACACTACGTTTGTAAAGGATAAAAAGGCTGCTACCGGCTGGTATTCCATAAGCTTCCTGTCTTCTCATTCGCAGTTCATCTGCCAAACACATCATACTTGTACGATGGGCGCAAGTGCTGACGGCAACGACCTGTCTCGTCAGCCCCGTGACGTTTTCTGCGGATGGTACCTGCAGGAATGCAGCCATCACAGAGTTGGATGTGCACATGGCAAAATATGCGCGACCTATCGCTCACAGGATGCATCGAATCAGGCTCGACGCCCATTCAGGAGGGATGTAAATGGGGCTGTCGTCATTTCAAACATTACTGCATATGTTCATTTATCTTTGTCCTATATTTACCGTTGCCATACAACTCAGCTTCCGGGCCTTCATCTACGGCTGGCATGCTCGCGCAATGCTCGCGCTTCTTACAGCGTTGAATGTACAGAATAAGGGCACCCGGTTGTCCCTGTGCAGATGCGATCATACGAGAGTTTGAGAGTTCAACGCTGCGTCGCAAATACCAACAAACGGATATTACTCAGTCTTGGTCGTCTTTGACGCGAGGGCCAGCCCGTCGACGATCTCGCCGCCCATGGAGAGGATCATGTAGCCTGAGCCGAGAAGCCATGCGCCGCTACAGTCGCGATGTCAAGTCAGCTTCCTTTCCGTGCAGCAATCCGCCTCTTCTGTTCGTGGGAAAAAGCTTACTTGGGAATGATCCAGAGGAAGAGGAGGTCCAGAGGGGGGTTGTGGCCAATGTTGTCAAAACGAGAGAAGTACTCGTTCGCCCCTGTCGCATCATCGTCGTTAGTACATTATCGCTTCGCAGGGCTCCGGGAGCAAAAGGAAAGAGAGTCGCGCTTACAGTACAGCACCGTCTTGCTCAACGTCATCACAGCCGCGCTGAACCCAATAACAATAGCCAGCGCGCCCGCCTTTCCACCAACAACCTTCTTCAACCCAGCCGGCCCGTCAACGGCGCGTCCCCGCGAGAAGTACAACCAGTAGTAGGCGAGATACATGACCGTCTCAACGGCATTCAGCGCGCCCTGCGCAGAGGTGAAGCCGTTGCCGGCGTTGAAGGCCTTCCACCCGTACACGTGGTCGACCTCACCGTAGAGCTTGTAGGGCGCCCAGACGGGCCAGTGGAGGTGGCCGCCGGGCATCGTCCAGGGCCGGAGGAGGACGTAGCCCGTGTCCCAGATGACGAGGGGCAGGGAGACGAGGAGCCAGAAGCAGGTGAGGGAGGTTGGCGCGTGGGACCAGCCTTGCGGGGTGGATTTATTTTCAGGTTGGGTTGTTGCGGCGGTTACGACGGCGCGGGCTTTCGAGGGGATGGTTGGGGAGGCTTCGGGGCCGGTTGAGAGGGCGCGGGAGGAGGATCGTGTTGAGACCATCTTGTTGTCGACGCTAGGTCTTCGGATTTGGGAAGGTTCGCAATGTGAGGGTATCGTGGAGGAGGAAGCGCTGGCTCGGTATGGCCCGTCGAGTCTTTGACGCGTTGTTTATCGGGTTGTGTGTATGTGTCTTCGTGTACGTGTGTTGTCGTCGAGAAGTAGGGGAGGAGGAGGGAAGCTTCGGAAAGGTTAATTGGACCGAGAAGGACAAGGACAGGTAAAGCAACCGGGATCAAGTTAATTAGACTGCCCGTCCCAGTGTCCCAGGGACCTGTTCACAAACGGCCAGGGACCACGGAATAGGTGATCCGTGCCGTTACACTCTCCACACAGGAAACGACTGGCAGTCCTGGGGCTTGAGGCTTGAGCAACGGTGGGTGGCACCCGAATACGACAGACGGACTGGCGCAGCGTGCTGGTGTGTCGCGACACTCTCAAACCTTCTTTGGCCCCTCGGAGCGGTCCTGTGCAGGCTTCCCGAAACGGTTCGCGCCTTCACAGTACGTACATAGAGGGGCAGCGGCGCGATTAGTCAACCCGAGTGCCGCGTCCCCACTCTTCCAACGGATACTCAGTGATCCGTGCATCTCTAGCGAATTGCGGGGGAGGGGCAGACAGCAACGCAGGCACGCAGATAGCGAAGCTGGAAAGGAGACGAGCCACAAGAAGCCTCAACTGCTTCACGATGAGGTCAACGCCCAGACACGACTTGAGTCAATAGCCTCAGCTACGGATGAGAATTGAACCCGCCAAAAAAAAAAAAAAAAAAAAAAAAAAAAAAAAAAAAAAAAAAAAAAAAAAAAAAAAAAAAAAAAAAAACAAAAAAAAAAAAAAAAAAAAAAAAAAAAAAAAAACAAAACCAAAAAAAAAAAAAAAAAAAAAAAAAAAAAAAAAGAAGAAGAAGAAGAAAAAGAAAGAAAAAAAAGAAAATTGCAAGCACAAGCAATGGCGAGTTCTGTCAACCATGAACAATCACACATTTTCCTGACCGCTAACGGCTACACCAAGACACTAGCGATCTACGAGCAAAGAACCAACTTGTTCCTGGACGACCTTCTGACTAACCGTGTCTACATACGCAAGCACATTTAGAAAAACTTAAGAAAAAAAGGAAGAGAAAAGGGGCGGAGAGCACACATTGCCAAGAACGCAGTTGTGACTTGTCCTTTCCTGGCCGTCGTCGGCACGGGTGACTTTTGCGCGCCCCTTGGGCGTGAAAAAACTTGAGCACTGGTGTGCTCATCATCTGTAAGTATTTCAGTGTTCTCCCCTGAGTGCTGCAGCGAGGCGTATGGCCTGCGACGAGTCGCGCAATCTGATTGCTCGACGGGGGCTCAGGAAGCGCCAGTGACGTGAGGGCAACATAGCAGACCAACAAGAGGCACTTTTACTGGGTTTCATGAGGTAGGTGCTGTCTGTATTCAAGTGAGCTATATTGCCTCACATACTACGTTAAAAGGGACTCTTCTCCCGACCACATAGCAGGTGCTTCTTCCATAGTGCAGGTATGTACTAATTCATGAACTCATCGCGACTACGACTTTTCTGTCCATCGTCTCTACTCCAAACTCTTTGCCAAATGGACCTTTTACAAATGGGTAGCTCTTGTATGACCGGCGGCGGAGTGGCGGTCTCTCGGTCTATGACCAGGTCGTTATCACCACACCAGAATGACCTGTCATTCGAGCTGTACCAACGCACTCCAAGGGACGGCGGCACATGGCCCAATTTAATAAACGAACCGCCGAGACGCTTCAATCAGACTCAGGAGACTGGAAATCCGTCATTCGACCTGTACCGACGTACTCCAGTTGGCAACGGCACTGGACCGGATCCAACAAACGAACCACCGAGGCGGTTCAAGCAAATCCAAGAGACTGAAAATGTGTCATTCGACTTCCATCGACGTACTTCAATGGGCAGCGGCACCGGGCCAAATCCAAAAAACGAGTCAACGAGGCAACTCAATCAAACTCGGGAGATTGGAAGAACATACCTATGTCCCCATCCAGGTTGCGTCTCGAAATTCAGCTGTGGGAGTAATGTGAAGAGACATATTCGATCAAAGCATGGCGCGCGTGTGGAAATGCCGTGCGGGAAAAAATTGACAAACGCTACTTCGAATTTGATGAGACACTCCAAGAGCTGTCAGCGGTGCAGAGAGCTCAGGCATCTGGGAAGTGACCAAACGAGCATGTTAGTCGACAATCCTAGGACATTCTTCTCTAACGCCGAGCCCCAAAGCCCAAGGATGCACCATCCCGACAAGCCTCCATCTCCAGACCCTGAAATGGACTTCTTGCCAGTTTATTCATCTGGCCTAGACCCCGACCGAATAGATCCCTGCCGAGATGCTGGGAAGCAAAGAGAGTGGAGTGTCACCAACCGGGACTCCGCATCTGGAGAGCTGTCACCGGCAACGCCAAAAGATACGACTTCACTTTGCATTTTGAACGAGTTGGTGTTGAAGGCTTTACGAGACCTCGAGATTAGATTGGAGCATCAAATTACCCAGGACCAGAACACCTTAGGCCGGGGAGGGGGCAAAGCCTCGGCACGAAAACGTGATCGCCAATCTAGCAATTCGCAGCAGTCGCCGTCCTCGAAACGACAACTATCGTCTAAAAGAGAGCGGGCGAGCCTCATCCGAGATGAGAACGACTCCCCAAATGACGAGGACAAGAATGGCTCCAGCCCCGAAGAGGGACATGACGGCGGTAATGCCAGTGATGCAGAACACAAATATCTTGCCTGCCCTCTGTTTCGAAAGGACCCGCGAAGGTACGCGGCTTGTGCGAAATGTCGGCTCAGGCGCATCAGGGATGTAAAGCAGCACATGAGGAGAAGACATAGGAGACCACAGTACTACTGTCCTATTTGTTGGAAAACATACTCGGGACCCGACGAGCGTGATGAACATGTCATTGAACGCTCTTGTAGCACCCCGCAAGAAACAAGCACACCGTGGATCACGCGAGAGCAAGACACCCGGTTGGAGGGAAGAGTTCCAAACGGGTCAACCGTGGAACAATGGTATACGGTATGGGATATTGTCTGTCCAGGGCAAACACGCCCAAATCCGCCACATTGCTTTCTGGGCAAGATGGTTGAAGATTTCAGCACCTTACGGCGAGAGCTCTGGGAAGAACACGGCCGCGAAATTGTCGAGGAACTTGTTACGCAACGAGAAGCCACACTCCGAGAACCTCTGAGTTGGGAGAACAGGAGTCTGCTCCAGAGATGCATCATTGATATTGTCCGACATGTGTTGGAGCATCCTGATGTTACATCAGCAGGAAAAGTCCGGTGGAATCAGGGCGTTTGTCAATCTGAAGCAGGTTCAGTACCTCAATCCCCTGGCCGTGTTCACGGTGTTCCTCAAGATGGTCCCGACACGACTCATCATCAACCATTTGAGATGCAGGAGAACTTACTCCAGGAAGGCCACAAATCCGCCCCAGATCAAGGATTACAGTTCGGCGGGCCACAGCTGGGCGACTTGGACTTGACGTCTTGGTTGGACTTGCAAACGTTCGACGGATTCGATACAGGCAACCTGAGCTTCCTTGATGCAGGTCCACCTGCCCTTGACGAGGGACATGAAACTGTACTTGATTTCTCAATTCGTCCAACTAATACATAAAGGCACCAGCACAGGACGGCTTTTCAACCCGCCATTCATCTACATGTTGTCGCTGTATCTAGCTCTTTTTCTACAGACTACATAGATGCTGATCGATGTCGCAGGCGTTGTGGCGCTGTCCATGAGGAAGGCAAGGCAAAGTGGTTGTAGTGATGGAGGATAGACCATAATCGAGGAGTAGCTATGTTTTGATAGAGACTATGAAAGAGAAAGGATATGAGGTCATGTTGGGAAATAGTATTTAGATAGATACATTCAACTGTTTACTTTGTGTTTTTGTTTAGCTCTTGCCCCAAATGCTGAGTTTCCATAATATCCAATTCAACACTAATGGAAGCTCTATGATTTTATTCAAGTCCTTGAACTGGCTGATGCGGGTATAAAGCCAACTTTGAAAGCATTGGGGCCCAATAGACTTCTATCTCATCTCTGATGGTCCATCACAATTGACACAAGGAAACAAAGACAACAAGTAGACAACGTAAAGAATTAAATGAGAAAGACCAAGTTAACAGTGTAAGAAGCACGGCCTCGGAGACCTTCCCGGTTCGCGCCGGCATTCGCAGTGTTCTGGCGGGAGGAGGTTGCTGGGTGACTGGTAACCTTCGTTGTCGGACGCGATGGTATGTCCGTCGAGCAGACGCGCCCAGTTGTCGGTAATTACCGGGTTGTTCGCTGGTTGTGGCTGGTTCAATCCTTGCGGAAAGACGTTGACCCCAGGTTCTGTAGTATTGAATCGCGATTGAGTTTGCCTCATGGCTGCGTAGTGCACTTGGGGGGAGGTGGTGTTGAGCATGGGATTTGTTCTGAAGCCAGACCTATTGGTTTGGTGCGCTGTCCAGTGCTGCTGAGCAGCGGAGCTATGGTGATCCATTAACGCTAAATTGTATGATATGTGTGCTGCCCGAGCCTGATGAGAGTCCCTTGGAGCATTGAATGGTTGATACGGGCTCTGAAAGGAATCCAACGTTGAGCGGGGCTGCGATCCACCGATGTAGGTTATGTTTGTCGGACCCAATGAGTTTGGAGGAGACATAAGAGAAGCCGCCGTCGGAGCGGAACCGGAAAACACCTGGTTCTGGATAGGTGAAGATGGTGGCCCCCGGGTGCCGTTGGCAGCTTGAGAGGAATTGTGTTGCTCAACTGTCGATGGCGGTACTCCCGGGCCTTGACCCCAGCTGCTGTCCAACACGCGAATGACTGCTTGGACGTCGTGGTCACTCCACCCAAGCTGTAGCCCAAGCTGCTGCACGCCAACAACCATTCTGGGAGCCACTCGTCGTCTTGTCGCAAGCTCGTCGACGTCTTCAGAGTAGGGCGATGCAGGTCTCTGCTCGCCCGGAAAGATGATGTCCCAGATCTTGAACCAAAATTCCTTCTGATCATCACTGCGAGACTTCTTCAGTCCTCGAATAGACGCTATTTGGTCTTCATTTAGACCGGAAGCATCAAAATCACAGACACCGGGGCGGCATGTTTGTGACCTGATATGTGCACTACGTTCTGCGAATGTGGTGAACAAGGAAAAGCAAATGACACAGTGAATGGGTTGCCGGTGGTTGCCTCTGCCTTCTTCTGTCAAGTGTCTCCTGATGTCCCTAACTTCGTCGAATTTGTAATGACGGCAGCACTCATGGGCGACAGTGTCGTGCGCGTAAAAGTGGCACGCGAAAAGCCTGCCCTTCCTGACTGCTTTGGCTTTGGGGGCGACTGCGACACGCGGGCGTTTTTCACCACGCCCGCGGCTCGTGGTGCTAGAAGCAGTGCTCCCGCTTGACTTGGTAGCTCTCTTCCTTCTTCGACTTTGGTCAGTTCCAGAGGCCACGCCCCCGGATCCGCTAGTCTTTTCAGAACCACCGCCTGTAGTGCTGCTCTTTGGTATGTACACGAGATGCTTAAGGTACAGTCCAGGCGCGGTGTACAGTTCTCGAAGGAGCTGTGGAATCGTCGGGCGGGCGAGTAAATCACTAAAGGCTCGCCAGCCTGTAGATGAATTTCCACTGATCTGGGAACTTGGATTCTCGTTGGGGCAGAGCGCTGCTGGCACCCACTTGGCGAACAGAACGACGGCAACTGGCTTCAGCAGGTAAAGACCAGTGCCACAGACCGCGAGTAAGTTGTAAAGGCCATGGCGAACTTTGACGTCGTCTATTTTAAAGACCGGCCACTGAGAACATGTATGCTGTGCGAGAGTTGGGCCGAGGTGACGGGAGGGTGTTTGCAGTACTGCAACGCCGGCCGGAGAGAGTTGAACGTGGGAATGATTTAGTTGTGACGAGAGAGAACTAAAGAGCGAATCAAAGAAAGTCGGGCAGCCTCCCAGGGCGTCTGTAGCGGTGGAACAAACGTCGACGACCGTACACGGGCCCGATGACTGGCCCAAACTGTTACCCCCGACGGTTGACAATCGGTTGGCTACAGTGTCTGAATTGACGATCAAGCCACTTGAGAACCTCAGTAGCAAACTCATCGACAAAGGTGGTTGGAAACGAAACGAAATGCTTTCAGGCTGTTGGCTGAGAGCGTCTACGAGGCGAAAGCTATATGATATGCTTGTGGAATTGTAGGAAATGAGAAAGGAGGAAAGAAACCAGCGACGGCTTCCATCTGTGAGAAATCCTAGACTCCAGTCGCCTCCTCAACCAACTCCTCAACCAACTCCTCCCCTTAGCGCGGCTGCCTTCCCGTCTCCTGGTAATCAACATCTACTCCCAAGTTCTCACGCCCCGACGAGGACCTCCGATGAGGCTCTTCGGCCGGGCAGCTTGTAATTCTCAACGTACGGAGCTCTGCACAGCCATCGTAGATTTGTCGGGGCGGACGCGGAGGCGTACTGTTCCGTATCCATGCCATCGATCTGTTCAGTATCACGTCTTCCTCACGGCTATCACGCTCATAGCGAGGCTGTCTCGTATGCCGACTCCTGATCCAATGATCTGAATTCTCCCTTGATGTGAGTCCTGTCGTCAGTCACTTGATTTGCCAGGCTTTCGAGGCGTCTCTTCCTCACCGCCCAGCACTCGAGGTCAATGCACAAGGCAAGCCGTTGCCTCGCGCCACAACAGCCCCTGAGGTCGAAAATCCTGATCCAGATGCGCGGTGTTACAAGGCATTTTTCTACTTTGATTCCATCTGTAGACATGCATCTACGTCACTGCCGGGCAGTTGCGCATGACAAGCGGGCGGATTTACACATCGAAACGCGCGAGTGCTCGTTTCTACAATGATGGAAATGCATGATGTACGTACAATAACGACACGCCCCCTAAAGGCGAACCACTTCATACAGTTCACAGCAGTTCGCCGGGCCACAATTTAGAAAGCGAGCGCAACTGCTCATGAAATCACTTTCGATTGCGCACAATTGCGCTGCGCGATAGTCTGGCGAAATGCGCAGTGAAGGAAAAACTCGTGATATTAGCCACCTGGAAAGACGTAGAAAAGACGTGAAAAAACACTCTGAACTTGAGCACCAGGTGTTCTCTGAATATGTTTCTTGGTCATGAAACGTTCGTCCAAGTAAAAACAAATCAAGCAACCTTGTAGAATCACTCAGAAGAACCAGTCCAGTTAGAAGCTCGAGATGCCGAGCAGCGATGTACACTCCCTCCATGCAGGAAACTCGAGGTGGGTGCTTCAGTCCCCAACCGACTTTCGTCACGCTCATTGATGAGCAGCAGCTCAGGCAAAAGTGGCCAGCGGGCTGTGCGAACCACCAGACTTGAGGCATGGATGACGGAGGAACCGCCAATGCCTCTCGCGGCTTACGGTCTCGCACAGACAATCAGCAAGAGCCAAGGAACACACTCAGGAATTAGAAAATTTGATCAGGCGTGGGAGAAGGCTGCGAGGAGATAAAGAAGATACCCGGCACACATCACACAAACAGCGAATGCTGACTTCGAATTTCTTGACTTTGACTTAGAGCCTTTATGTTGGTTCGCCAACAAAGTGACTTGGGCTGGACGCTCTCAGACCATTAGACGGACACTGTGCACTTTCAGGCTGCAAATGCGTGCCCTAACTTACACCTACTGTAGCTAGGCAGGCTTGTCTAAGGTTGCACAGCCCTAAATTCTGCAACCATCTCGCTCCCTTCCAGTGGGGGAGACGTGCCCCAACCCAGCTTGTCACACCTAACGCATCTCAATGTAAGCCTGGTACTTCTGCGCCGGCATCAACAACACGAATTTGGGTAGTGTGGAATAGATAGGAAGGACATTTGGTCATGTGCGCGCCTCAAATCCTGAGGAGAGAATGGAAGAATTTGTCCTATAAGTTTGGAAATCCCACCCACCATTGACACATGCCCCTGAATCGAGAGAGATGTTCTGGGACTTCGAAGAAACCGCCTCAGCTAGCTTGTGACTGCTAGTACCCAGCTCGAGAGCTCAATGATGGACCTAAGTCTTCAGCATCGAGAGTATCCCCCCAACGTAGACGAGGTTTCCCAGCTATCGGGCTCCTACTTCGTCGTTCCCTCGCCCACCACGACGTTTTGGGAGGAGCTTGAGTCGTCTTGGCCCTGGCTCCCTTCTCTCCAGGACCAAACACAGACGTCTTACGGCGGTGAGAATGAGTAAAGTGCATGGAAGATTGAACATCACTAAGAGAATTGTAGAAGAGCTTCCTGGAAGTCACTTCCTTGGCGATTGGGTACAGCTGCCGCTTCCAGAATTACCGTCCCTCGGCCCTGCTCTCCCGCAAGACCGCCCTTCGAAGTCACAGAATGAGGCGTATCTTGAGCCATCGGAATGTCAGGCTGCAGCAATCCCTGGTGTTCATGGCCAAAGCTACTTTTGTCAGCCTTTACAAGGTGGGTTTTGGGAAATCCAACCCCAGATGGGCTGGTTTATACCCAACAGATAGACTGACATTGCTCAGATTGTGACATGAAGACCTTGCCTGGACCAAGCGTAGTCCTACCAAGTCACTACCAGTGGTCGAGACAATCCATCCACGATCGGAATGACATCTCATCTAGCCAGGAGACTTTTCTGTGTGACAGACATGCGGATCCAGGATCAACCTCTGGCAAAACATGCCACCTAATTCCCAACAGGGCAAGCCATCGCAAGCGAGCGAGATCGCAGTCAGAGCCCCTGGGTGATGAAACAATCGATAGCCTTAACCCAGAGTGCGCAACTGTAAATGATGGCAGACAAGTGGAAAGGGAGCTTCATCACGTGGAAGCAGAGCCATTGCCGAGCAAAAGACTTGCCTGTCCTTTCTATAAGTATGATCGGATCACGCACCTCCACTGTGCTCGCTTCCACCTGAAGAGAGTTAAAGACGTTAAGCAGCATCTTCTCAGGAAGCATCGGTTTCACTGCAAGACTTGTCACGAAGGCTTTAAGGATAAAGAAAAGTGCAAAGCTCATATCGATGCCCAGCAGTGCGATAGCAGGGCCGGTACCCGGTCGGCCGAGATCGATGAAGGCATTTCGGAGCATCAGGTAAACGATCTCTTGCAGAGGATGAATAGCGGTCCTAAGGAGGATGAACATTCCTGGTACACTATATGGGATATCTTGTTCCCCGGACGATCCTTTCCCGCCTCACCATTTCTAAGGACCGAAGTGGAAGAAGCCATCTCGACCGTGTGTGACTTGTGGCACAAGAATGGTTCCAAGGTCTTGTCATCTCTCAATAACGGCTCACCGCCGACGGACTTGATAACCAGCGCGGAGTTGCCCAGAGGAAGACCTTTCTCTCCCTTTAACTCTTCCACAGGTGAGGATTTGTTGTTGATCTTGGGCCAGCTCGCGAAAGTGAGTGCAACACAAAGCGAGGCCGATGAGACAAGCCTCACGAAATCGCGTTTCTACCCTTCGTCGCCTGCAATTTGCTCCCCGCCCACGTCTGTCATGACTCTAAGCGCCGTCGACGACAAAGAGAGGTGGCAGCTTGGTCATGCGATGGTGTCTTCTCCTCTGAAAGTTGACGACTTGAACAATATAACACTTGGGTCGAGAAGGAGCACAGAGAAATGACGAAACCTCTGTATGAAAGACTTTAGGTCTAAAGTTGTACTTGAACCAAGAAATTTACGCGTTTATACCGACAAAATATGAACAGTACCCGATTCGTATTTAGGTCGATTTCACTTCAGATTCAATCTTTTGAGTAACACCAATCTGACAGTTTGAAGCAGCTCAGCAGGTCCCAACACTTCCAAGCATTACTTAGACCAGACCTTCTGCCATCGACATTTCATCATCTTTCTCTCGAATCTCGCATGAAGACAAACGTTGATCAGCGTAGCTTTAAGCCGAATATAGTTCTTGATTTTTCATCACTTGTGGCAAAATTGTGGGACAAAAATGGACAGGAGGCCTCACCGCCAGCATATACTCGCGAATAAAGGACACCGAGGCTTTGTAATGTTGGCATCTTCGGGCATCTTCTTTAGAATTGAACTCCAACTACTATCTCCAATTTTTAGTATTGAAATATACGACACATTGAAGAAAAACACACGTGTACAGTTGTACTAGAATCCAGCCTTGACTTCTGCAACAACCTCCCAAGTCAACTATGGCAACTACTGGTATTTCAGCAGTGTCGACTATGATTGGAGCAATCTAAGTCTGGCGGGTGATTTCAACATTTCGTCCACCAAAATATTGATAACCTCCCGAAGTACCGCTTCATCGAGCCTGATCAGACTTTCACTTCCTACTCCGATCGTTTTCTTTCCTCTGAGCTTGTAAGACTGGTAAAAGTTCTTGAAATAGGCCACCTCAGAGCCCAATGTGTCGCTCAGAAAAGGAGACTTTGGTGGCTGTTGAGTTGTTGAAGAATTCAGAATCTTCCAGACTGCAAACCACTGCTTTTTGCGACCAGGAAGCTGTTGAGTGCGTGCAATGAGATAATCTTGATCTTCTGTGACGCCCCCGAAAATAACTTCACCTGAAGACTCACAACCGCGGCTGATGATGTGTTTGTCTCGTAGACTAGCGTTGCAGAATGTATGAGCACATACTGGGCAGTTGTAAGGAACCCGGTGCGCCGTCCAGATATGATCTTTGACATCTGACATTGTAATCAAAGCATCGACTCGCAGACATTGAAGATGCTCCCAAGGGCTATCGACAAACAAGGGACATGCAAATTCGGTGGATCGAGCGCGAATGTCTCTTCGTTGTGATTTACGTGACCCACGTCTACCCGAAGTAATAGGAAGTGTGTTTGTTTTGCTTCGTCGCTTCTCCCTTCCTGTGTCGTGACTGACAATGTGCTGGTATGTCTTGAAACTCTTGTGCGCCTTCCTAGCTAGACTTTTGACAAGTATGTTGTCATCCGCCAGAGCTCTGTAACTAGCAAATGACTGCTTTGCTGATGTCGCCGTAGCCGCCTTCGTGGAACTGCCAGCGGTGTTGTCGTCAAGAGATTCTGGGGTGACAGCCCTAGCGGGCGATGGCTCGACGAAAGTGTCTGGATCGAGACCAGTTGGTATAGCATCAAGAATGCGTTCTTGCTTCACTGATGTCTGATCTGCTTCCTGGGACTGGTTTCTTTGATGTTCAATCGTCGGAGACTTTTCTTCACGCATCGAACCTGCACAATTCTTTTCAGAATCGTCGACGGGGGCGCGTTGCTGCAAAGGACTCCCGGTACTTGAGGGATCATCCTGTATAGGAATGCCGTCTATCGAAAGTACAGTGTTCTTGTTGCTAATCGATCGTGTGCGAGTCTTCGAGTTTCGTAGGTGGTTGAATCGAGTCGCTTTGACAGAGCCGTTAGTGAAGTCACCCGCATCAATCGTGATTCGCATGGCTTTCGCATGCTCAGTTGCAGAGGCTGTCTGTATCGCGCTAGGCTGCACACGATGATATATTCCAGATACGCCTCGGCGGATCAAGATGCCGCATCTCTGTGCTAGTACGTAGTCGTAACTGCGCAAACGTGCTCCGTTCCCAAGGTCAAGAAAGATGGTGTCCTCGCTTTCAACAATGCAATTACCTTCTACTACGACCCCGTCGCGACTCCTAGAAATAGTGAAGGTTCTGGCGTTTTTGAAAGGGACAGCGGCAAGTTTCGTCCTCCCAAACCAGCCAAACTCATCGGCTGAATTGGCAAAAATGCCTCGAGGAATTGAACTGTCAAAGCTGGTCCAAGCGAACAACGACATATCGCCTGTCTTGTCTAGAATTGCCCCCTGAAGGTTCCGGAATGCCAATTGCTTACCCTCGCCGTAAATTATTGGCAAGGTGACGCCAAAGATGCCAAGAAGAGCGTATGACGAATCCTCGCCACGAGTATCCTTCTTTCCTGCTGCCCAAGACATCTTGCGTGCAACTGAAAAAGAATGTATAGGTCGTGATATATCTCTGGGTATGTCTTCTATGCCTGTGACACGCTCTAAGAAAGATTGGAAAGCGAGCGAAGAAGTGTCCCCTCGAAGGTGCCAATTGCAGTCATAGAAGTAGATTCTCTTAGGGAACAGGAGTTCTTGAAGACTCCAGGATCGATTCCAGAACAGAGATTTCTTCCAGGTTTTTGCACATTCGTAAGGCGGGCAGCAGGGCAGATCGAATAGGTAAACGAAGCAAATGCGCGCATTTTGAAAATATTCCGAAAGGGAGTTGATGGCATGAGAGACCTCATCAAACGAGTTTTTATCGATACATAACGAGTCAATCCAAATGTAGTCCAGACCATTCTGGCGTGCAAGAAGACAAGCATTGTCGATGACTGCTTTGCGGCTTATGTTATCGGGCAAGCTGGCCGAGTCGTATGCGTCCCACTCATCATGTCCAGGGGTCGAGTAAACATGAGATAAGATGGCATAGTCAACTAGCAAAGGGAAGCTGTGATTTGATATCTTCCTGGTCGTGCAATGTACGAGCTTCATTTTCGTAGGTGTTGGTGATGGAGATTGTGGCCCGAGGTTGGTGGGAAGGACGTGTTTGAGGGTGCGTTGCATATGAGCTGGACAGAAGTGAGGAATTGGGGCCCAGAACTTTTATATGACAGAGAACGACTGCGTCACTTTCCGACAATTGATGTAGCCTTGTGAACGTGTAGTTGTGTGCACAGCTGTGCACTGGGCTAGTGTAGCCTGACGCTGCAAGAGGCATGGAAACGCCTCGCGAATGGCCCGTTTGAAGTGGTGGCATGCCGTTCTGGCCCGCATGAAACATCTGAACAACTTCGATCGGGGCGTCTTTGTGGTGCGATAGCGCTACATTAGAACTCTACGCGTGTACCTGAGTACTTGGGGTAACTACTACATGTACTGTTTGCTTCCCGACCTGTTCAAAAGGTTGTGAACTTATAGCATGCACTGCCCAGTCTTATGAATGAATTTTTTGCAAACTCGCGAGTGTTGCCATTTGATTGGAAGTGCGACATTCAAATGTCGACTACCATTGATACAACCACTATTTGGCGGACAACGAGGCGAAGCAGTCCACAGGTAATGAATCAAGACGACAAGCTATTCGCAGATACTCCAGCCAGAAGTTCATCGTCAACACTTCATGCCTGTTCCTTGAATCGTGAACCCATATGCAAGGTCTACGCTTAAGATGGAATAATGCCATAGACGCCTTGAATGCGGTGATACTGGTTGCATGTAGTCAAATGACACACATCACTGCCCTTACCGGCATGCGACCCACACGTACCGTTGGGTAGCCCGTGTACTTTGCTGAATAAAGAAGAAAAGTCTACTAAGGCGCCTGTTTATATCACGGGGAAAGACAAACAATTTAAGTAGATGGCGCAAAGAAAAGAGCTGTTCTGGTGCAGAGCAAGCCTATTGTATCGAACAGCATCGGTGCCACATGCATAGTTGGGTTCGTATTACAAGATAGTGCGGATGATGAGGGTGCCTACCCACACCGAGGGTCTTGTGATGTGACCTTGTCCGCGGATGGCCGGGAGATTCTACGCTGAGAATCCTCAGCCCTATGGCTGAAGCAAATGATCATGAACACCGGCTTTGTGAGGGTCTCAGGCAAGCTTTGTGGCCCGACTGCATTTGACGCCCAATTGGAAGGCAATTGAGGCGGTAGGCCAAGGTTTGACAGGTCGGCTGAACAGCGAAAACAAAGAGAATGATGAACCCTATTTCGCCGCTGGAACCCGGTATTGCCAATTCCGCCAACCTTTGCAAGTGTCTGAGGCCAGGCTGGAATGCTCCGAAACAAAGTCATAACGACAGGCTGCGTCCGAGAGCATGATGAAAGATCCTCAGAACTGTTCATCTAGCTCTAGGAGGTCAAAAGATGCCGAGGAAAGGCGGGTAAGGTGAGCAGTCAACATGCTTCATGTTGGTCGAGATTATGTCTAATCCGCCCGACGAGCAGTACCCGACTTGAATGTCCAAGTATATTGCCAGCGGCTAGTACCTCTCAAGTGACCCAAGACCGCACGGATCGAGGAACACCTGATTATGAACTATCAAGGATCATGTTTCGATTTCCGCTCAGGAATGTATTAGGGGCAGTTTTGAGCTAGGCTGAGGCCTCATGAATAAGCATGGGTCCAATCTCAGCATCCCATGATGACACTAACTACTGTGTCTTTGGTAGTGGCGCAACAGCCGCAAATCCATGTAGCGACAATCGGATTATTGCAAAACCAACATTTTGATGTGAAAGATGGTGGTTAATATTGGCAGTTCCGAATGAGAGGTTGAGAGGGCGCATCCATGGAGAGCCTCCGTGAAGTGCGACGCTGGTGAGGGGCATGTGAGTGGCATGCCTGCGCAGGCACAGGCGCACGTTTGAGTCGAATGAGACGTGCAGTTGAGTGTCTCATCCGCTGCCCATCCCATCTCTTCTTATCCTTCACTCTCGACTTACTCTTACTTTCTCATTCTAACGAGGCTCATCACATTATTTCATTCTTAATCATCATTCCCTTAAAACCCTCACGGCTGATGACTGAAAACGTCTCATTTAAAATGAGTTGAGCTAGCTGCGGGTCTCCGAGACATCCCCGAGGTCGGAGGGGCCCTGGAGACGGAGCTGGTGCCCCGCGGCTGTTTTTAGTGTTTGACTCATCGCTTTCAGGAGTGAGAAAACCAAAGGCTACTAATGAGAATTTCTGAGTGAGAAAGAGTCAACATCCCTTCAAGTTCGACCAAACGCCCCTTTTCAACCCAATCAACCAACCTATAAATCAGACATTCAACATGGCTCCCGCCTCTCACGACCACATCCTGACGCTCTCATGCCCGGACAAGTCCGGCATCGTCCACGCCGTGACGGGGGTGTTTGCGGCCGAGAAGCTCAATATCCTGGACCTCCAGCAGTTCTCCGACCCCGTATCGGAAAAGTTTTTCATGCGTGTGCACTTTGGGCCGACCGAGTCCGAGTCGACGGAGCACCTCAAGGGCCCGTTCGACGCCCTCGCCGCCGATCTCCAGCTGGACTGGTACCGCATCCGGCCCGTCGCCCGGAAGCTGCGCACCCTGATCATGGTCTCTAAGATCGGACACTGCCTCAACGACCTCCTCTTCCGCGCAAAGTCGGGCCAGCTGCCCATTGACATCCCTCTCATCGTCTCCAACCACAACGAATACCAGGGCCTGGCCGGCAACTACGGCATCGACTTCCACCACTTGCCTGTCAACAAGGACACCAAGGCTGAGCAGGAAGAGGCTATCCTGCGCCTGGTCAAGGAGAACGACATTGAGCTCATCGTTCTGGCCCGCTACATGCAGGTCCTGTCACCCAAGCTGTGCGAGGCCATGTCCGGCAAAATCATCAACATCCACCACTCCTTCCTGCCATCTTTCAAGGGCGCGAAGCCCTACCACCAGGCCTACGAGCGCGGTGTCAAGATCATTGGCGCGACGGCCCACTTCGTCACAGCTGACCTGGACGAGGGCCCAATTATTGAGCAGCGCATCGCTAGAGTTGACCACTGCATGAGCCCCAAGGACCTTGTCGAGGAGGGATCCAACATTGAGAGCCAGGTTCTGGCTGCCGCAGTCAAGTGGACTGCCGAGGGACGCGTGTTCCTCAACAAGACCAAGACGGTTGTTTTCAATTAGGTATTAAAAGGACAGGGCATTTTGAAAGGAAATGATAAATAAAAGTTGGTCTTTTTTCCTGCACCGCGCAATATCCATCTAAGTCACACTATCCTGCTCTCTTGTCTTCGCCTCCCTTCTCTGACATATCTCCCTTCTCTCGTTTCTCATGACGACCCCAGTTGCCGTCAGGTAACTCGAAAACCAAGTCGTTGAAACCAGGGCTGCTATTCATCGGCGAATTGAAAGGCGACGGTAACTCTTGAGGTTGTTGCTCGCCTAATGCGGACTTCCGATCATGGTGCTCTAGTTCTGATATTGGCACCCCTTTTCCATCCATTTCAGCCTTGCCACCAGTGAAGACATCTGCATCATGTAAACCACGCCCGCTTTCATTTTCGTTTTTGTGTTCTCCGTCGGAATTCCTCTTTCTCCGAGCCCGCCAGCAGAGGAACCATATCATGGCCACCATCGCAACCAAGCCACATCCACCCGCGACTGCAATTCCTGCTATTGCACCTGTTCCTAATCCGCTTGGAGAAGCGGAGTTGACGCTGGTGGTCTCGGATGGTGTGCCTGATGTTGCTCCAGTTCCTGCCTCCACCTCTGTCCAATATTCCCGCCAGGTATCGACAAAGGTATCCGCAGGTCTCGACCGTAAATCTTGAGTGTTATCCGGGACAATGAGCTGTTCTGACATTCCTGGTCCTGGTGCTTGTGCCATGAAAAATCGCTCTCGGTCATAGTTGAAACCGGTAAAAGCACCTTGCAGAAAAGCTCGACCTAGCGTATATCGGTTCAGTGATGAGGAAGCCACGATGTCCGATTCAGTCCATGGTTTGCAAGGCCAATAAGTATCCACCCCCCAGTTCACATAGTCCTCTCTGGCGGGCATTCGATCTATTGTGAGATTCAATAGCCTGAAAGGAATCTTTATAGTAATGTTCCGGAAATTTTCGTCTGCGAATACGAAGGTCATGGAAGCCGGAGAGTTGACGAAGCGCGTGGTGCCGACGGGATCTGAGTGAAACTCCCACACATACAATCCGATTTCTGGCATCCAGCGGACGGGTAGGTGAGAAGCAGCAGCCTCACATACCTCCGGAGGAAGATACAAGTAAGGGGCAGCCGCATTTGGCAGGACCATAGCAGACCCGATAGGGCCACCGTACTTGTCAGCCATGCTCTGAACGGCGGCAGGGAGACTTTCGCTTTGCCATACGCTTCCAACAGTTGTGTTGTATGGCGATGGTCCTGCTTCAAAGTCGAGGAGTACGTCCACAAGTATCACCCGAGGGAGAGTGGAATCTAAGCGAAACGTCCCTACGTCTCCTAGAATGCGGTTTTCTTCATAGCCCCCCATTATTAGCGATCCTGTCTGGCCCAATGTGACGCTTCCCAAATGCATGTACCAAGAGCTATTGGCGATGAAATTTTCCGACGTCATTTGGTCGGTGATGCTGTAAATGGAGTTGGGATTGGAATAGTCGTAACTAAGCTCATCGCCCAAGCCAATCGTTCCGACGGGTGCGGTTTCATTCGAGATGTTTGAGTATGCTGTCGGGTACAGATTGGGGTTGTAAATGTCGATGGTAATGTCGGCCCAATAACTTCTTTTAATGTCGCCCATGCGCGAAAGCAGGTTCGTGCGCTGTCGATATATCTTGCTCATGGCATTCTTGCTAAGTCCGAGAGGCCAGTCATCCATGAGTGCGACGGCGCTCGCGTTTGATTTGAGGACGCTTTCTCTGGATGCAGTACCGTTGTAGCTTCCCCCTTGTTCCACAGAAATCATCATGCTGTCTGTTGAACCCGTCGGCCAAAGGAAGTAAGCAATAGACCCGTGATCAAGGGACCCCGGCGTGTCCGAAAGCCCTATCGCTCGCCATGGTCCATCTGGGCCAAGTGAGCTTGAGTTAACCCCTAATTCAGGGTCCGTCGACCAGTAAAGGCGCCGGTATTGGCTTCTCACGCATGTTATCCATGAGAGGATAACTACCAACAATATGCCGTCGCGCATCTCGATAGAGAAAGTCGATAGTGACGTCGGAGGAAAGATTCCAATTACCAGATAACAACTGATGGCTGGTAAGAAAAAGGAGAGACGTGGGATGTCCTTTCGCAGTCCCAGGAGGGGGTCGTGAAGGCGGGTCAACGAAGCAAAATAGAAGTTCCCTCTTAGTCTAGAAGAACTTTCTGCAGGGATATCTGTAATACATTGTCGGGAAACAGTAATCTCCCTTAAGTCTCGGAGGCGATGTTGCTTGGATGATTTTGAGTTGCATATGCATGTTGGAGCAGACAAAGCTGTTGGTTGGCGGAGTAGGCTTGGCCGGCCCGTCACGGTGGCTGCGCCTGCACATCGTGTGACAAACATGACGGGTATTAGGAGGCTTCAGTGGAACGTAAAGAGTACTTGGTGGTCAAGTCTACAGGCGCAAGGCGGAAAAGCAAGCTGATAGTCAGGCGGTCGGTATCTTGGCAGGCTGCGGCGTAGAGCTGCATGTTGGTCCAGGGGTTCATACGGAGAAACATGGACGAAAGTTGCCTCAGTTGGTTATACTTTGGGTTCGATGGCATCATAGGAGTCCTAGATATTCCCATCAAAGGCCAAACAAGTTCTTCTGCATGTCTGTACCCACCCAACTTTGTCCTGTGCCCCTCCGTGTCTGCTCAGCTCGCGACCCAACACCTCCGAGACTATTCTCAAATAGTTCTGTCTTCCGAGGATCATCTATATGCCCATAATCTATTCGGAATATTCAGGAGATAAGAAGCGTGCTGCGGCTTCCCGCGCTACAGTGCTTCATAGTCTGAAGATAGCAGTGATATTTGTATCACGAGGCTGGTGGGCAGACGGGTAGGCGCGCAGCACAAGTGATCGACGTCGCCGAGGGAACAGGGAGGTACATGTAACCAACCGCGCCGCAATCGTACTTATCAAGAGAGTTCTAGTGATAAATCAACAGACCCGTGTGCTCCAAGAATAGAATCAACTTTGAGCTAAGGCTACTCCTCCCTTTCTTTTGCATCTAGGCATGCAGCCGAGAAAGCCGTTATGGCCGATGAAGGCGAAACTCGGCCGTAACAACGACTACCTTAACCTTCAAAGTCCCATCTTTCATTTCGAGTACTTGAAAAAGTGTTCTTCGTACGCGTATCACGCCCACCGAATCATTGACCTTAAGAAGAGAACGGAGAAGTGAAACTACCATCAGAAGTAATGGACTTGGCTACCTATTTGGAGCAGGTAACTTGAAATTAAATTATCTATCCTAAAGCAAGAAACCGCATGCATTGGCCTCAAAATGGGCAGGAACTTAGGGCCTTGAATAGAGGCAGCAAATACCCTTGGAATTGACCATCACATGACTTCACTTGCCTCATCGATCATCAAGCGCGCAACAAGAAATGGCACCCGGGAGACTGGGCGGTTCAGTGTGGAAGGCTATCCACGTCGCCGAAGACCTAGTAAGGAAGGTAATTGATCGGATGGAGCTAGCAGCAGAAAGTCTGCTAGCACATTAAAGACACGACCACTCATCCTCGGCACTGTAGTAAGACAAGTGCCCGATTCCGTTTCGCTCTTTGTGTGACACAATCGTTGGTATTATGTTGTCATTAGAATTGAGAGTTACTTAGGTAGGTTGTCGGCGTAGGAATCCTGAACTAAGAAATAGTATTTCCCTTAATCCAACCAAAGTCTCATCTTGGACATATAATCATTACAATGCTTTACGCAACGAGGCCAGCAACGAATGCAGCCGCGGCCGGGGCATCCTGCTCGTAGTTCCTGTGGTCGGCAGTGATGATGATACCGCCGTCGCAGATGTTGTCGCCGTCATGGCAAATAACCTTGACCTTGGAGGCAGGGATGCTGCCAACCGGCTGGCCATCGAACGGGTCGCCGAAGATGAGGACTACATAGTACAAGCTGTCAGCAAGCGGATCTCGAGAATATTCAGATTAGGAATTCTGTAGACTGTAGACATACCGGCAGAGACACGGGCGGTCTGGGCCGCGGTGAGCTTGGACGCAGCGTTGTGGACGAGCTGGCCACCCTGGCTGTAGCCGGACATGACGATCTTGGTGCTGGGACACTGGGTCACAGCCTGAGGAGAGCCTGTTAGCTTGAAGAAACACCCTGCTTGAAGGGTCTTGAACTTACGCGAGCAACCAAGTTGGCCATGGTGGTGCTGCCAGCTGCGTCGCCGCCGGCGAGGAAGCCGAGAATGCTAGCGGGGTAGTCGACACCCTGGACAGCCAAGTTGGAGGTTCCGACGAGACCGGCAAGGGCGTTGAAGAAGACGGGTCCCTCGGAGCCAGCCTCACCAACGTTGCCGGACTGAGTGGTGCCACGGGCCCAGATCAAAGTAACCTTGCGGCAAGCCGTGCCGTCGGTGAGCTGGTTGAAGGTGTCGCCGTTGTACTGGCGCTTGGAAATCGCGGGGCTAAGAGCGGCGGTCTCTTCGGGCTTGACGGAGTAAGCGGCGTTGTAGTAAGCCTCAAGCTCGGCGATGGGGAAAGACCCAATCTCGCTGCGAGCGACGGGCACGCTCTCGAGAGGGGCAGCGAGGGCCGTGGAGGCCGCGAGGAAGAGGAGGCTGGCCTTCATTGCGACGGTTTGGGGACGATGGCAGCTGCTGGACCTGGGTTGCTTTGAGAAGCAGGAGGGACTTGTCGGGCTTGGGAGTCTGGAGCTCTGAAGATCTCTCCTGATACTGGATGCCGGGGAACAGGAGCTACTTTATATGCCCTCAACTCCATCTCCCGCGACTACCTTATGCGGAGCTTCGCACCTGTTCATGATCGAGATGGGCGCGCCTCACGCGCCGGGAGGGTTGCTGGGCCAAGCCTTGGCTGTCGTTGTTTGCTTCAGTCCCTCTCTCAGTTTGCAATGCGTCGCAGGGCCAGGGCCAGCATCGACCATTGGTGTCCACCAACGGTGTAGCAGTGCGACTCGAAAGCTTGGCCCGAGCCCCATTTCGGCCAGTGCATGGCTTCTTGACGCCTGCCATCTAGTGCCATTGACCAGTCAGACGAGTGCAAAACCAGGAACGTCGGTCTTCGAAGAGGAAGCTGGGACGGCTGAAGCAAGTTTCCCCAATTTGTCCTGCAGATTGACTAGCCCACTATAGCACCTCGGCCCGCACCGGTCTCCGTTTGTGCAGCTGATATTGAGTTGTCAAAACTCTTGGATGTCTTAGGGAATCGTCGAGGGGTCAGCAACGGCCACGGCCTGCGCGGATGACAGCTGTAGGTGAAGTCTGGAGTTGGAAGTGATCATCCTGACTCTGATAGTGACCCCATGGCGTCATGATGCAACTTGATAGGCCCGGCAGTTCGCAGTAAATCTCGGGACCGGGGGGGCGCCTACCAAGCCACCAACCTGTCATTGAGTCCCGTGGCAGCTGAGGGTTGCGTTGACCGGCTCCCAGACGGGGCCAACGTGACATCGCCCCGGGGATGTCGGCCGATTGAAGGTAAGCATATCGGCGTCGAATCCCAAATCGTAACGGAGTTCTGCCGCTCATCGCGGGGTAATCGAGGCACTTGTGATAGGAGTTTGGGGATTGGGTCTCACGAAGAACACGTGGGTTGCGAGCCGAACATTGACCTTCCACTTTGACGGTGGAGTCCCGCCCCCAAGAGCTTGAGGGTGGGAGCTATGAATAATGATGTATGACCGCCGGGCGGTAAAGCAGCTTGGCAAGAGGAATCATTTGCTTAACTGGCGTAATTGATGGCCTCTTTGGGAGTTAGCTGAAAGTTAATCAGCGGGACCCGCCGAAAGCTTCGCATTGATTACATACTACAGGACAAAAAAAGAGTAATACGCGGTTTTGATTATGATATTGATAAGTTGCGCAATAGACAAGAGGTGGTTTTACTGAGTTTCACCTCATAGTCTTTGCGAGTTGCAAGTCAGGTTACGGTGGGGCTTTAATGAAATCCGGAACCAGACAAGAAGTTTCTTTTGTGGAGGTTTCACTCGTCCACAAAGAATCCAGAGCAGCGATGTCAATGTCGAGTGAGAAATAGTCCTCAAATAGCTCGCCACCATCAACAATTGGAAACCATATTCTGTCTCATTGTAGTAGACGTACTTCAACACAACGTATGCTTCCAATCCCACTTTAATGGCTCTACTCACCCTCAACCAATGATACTCTTAATGTCGAGTTCGATTGATGGAACTGCACTCGAGTCACCAGGCATCACAAACGTAATGTTCCAGAATTCAAATCCACTGCCTGATGTTAGTACCAAGTTCCGAGGGACTTTGGGAGATTGAGTGAACTCACTGAATAATTGAACAGGTACCGCCGACAAGGCCACAGAATCCAATTCCCGGCTGTGGATTCACCGAACCACTAACGCTAACTTGTATACCTTCAAGATCGTCTAACCCAGAGATATCTCTCTTCCCACCAAGTGAATTGGAGCTCACAAGAAATGTAAAAATACTGGTAGAATTACCGCGGGGGTATGACAGGCTGAGATGCCCAGGACTCACATCCACATTCAAAGCCTCTTCAGTACCATGGAGAACGGCATAGCCGACGCTGCCGTCGTTCCTAACCCACTGCACCACCGCAGTAGACCATTGAGAAGGATCTTCGCGAGGACCACCGAGTGTATCCTCATCATAAGACTCGGCTCCAATAGTGAGGTTGGCCGACAGCCAGGTCGTGATATTTCGGGGAACGGAATCGTGAGGGGGCGAGAAAGCGGCAGTCTCATACATGTGCTCACCAGGGAAAACGCTAAGCTTCTCCACAACGTCCGATGGTACAAGAGCATCATGGAAAGGTGCCAAAACAGAGATGAGCGGCGCGTATTCGAAGTCGTCTGCATGCGCCATGCTCCAGGTCTGTGAGATGCCAGGGGCCCTGTCTTTACCGACGAGAGACCAGATGTAGATGTTGATTATGGCGACATATTGGTTCATGTCGAAACCGTAAGTCCTATCCCATGGTCCGGCGACGTTGCGGAGGTTGGCATTGTACATGGCAGCAATGGATTCCCAAATGGCTTTGATCATGCGACCACCATGCTGGCCCATCAGTGACGAGTCAGATGGCATGTACTTGGCCCATAGGGTAAGCGAATAGATGCTGACGCCTGCGTACGTTGGGCTGTTAAATTCAGAGAGTGTGCCGTTGCGGTCAAACAAGTCTAAGATCTCTTGGGCGTACATTTCGCCGGCAGCTGTCATGTTTGAGTCGTTGAGTGTACGACCTGTCCACCCGGTAGCAATGGCGCGCATGATGGCCGGGTTGCTGTAAGAAGGGTAGAGATTGTCGTCATCAACTCCACCAACACGGTAGCTGTCTCCGATGGTGTTGTTGTACATGCTCTCAAGAATAAGATCCTGTACGTCGCTTGAAAGAAGATGCCTAAACTCTTCATAAATGACGATGAGAGTTGTGCCAATGAAACCTCGCCAATTAGGGTCCCAAGTATTGTAAATCTTCAGAAAACGGTCAGCGTCACAATCGAAACTTGGTATCTGCGCGAGGGGAAAGATACTTACGCTCTTGGGATACGCCGCTGTACCAACAGTTGGCTCCTCTGGATAAACAGTGTAGTCGCCATACCTGGATGAAACTTTGTCGTAAGTTGAAATTCATCTTGAGACTGTTGATAGCAGAGGGCACTAACCATTGTTCCTCGGGAATTTTCTTTTGATCTCGGATTACGTTCTTGATGATCTTGGTGGCATGAGCCACATCGTCGCCGATGTTACGCTGCAGGAGACCAGCTGCGTACCAGACTGAGGAAGTGTCTCGTGCTTTCCTGCCGCAAGTGGGTAGTAGAAGAAATGAAGATAGCCGGCTGCAGGGTCATAGATCTTATCTAAGAAGTCCATGGACTCGGTGAACAAGTCCTTTGTGAAGTCCGATAGCTCAACTGCAGTAGCCCGCTGCTTCAGGCCCAAGGCGCTGAGCAAGCCTACCGCAACGAGACTCTTTGTCGACAGCCACATTTTGATGAAGACAATATCCCAATCTCTTTTGGGACGTGGATGAGAACAGCGTGTTGGAATATTATTGCTACAAATCCGTTTAACTCCTCAACTTCACTTATAAATAATGCTTGAATCCGGCAAAGACCGGTACAGCAGTATCACAGGCCAGTGCCGGCTTCGGCGAGAGCGAGTCGTTTTCATGAGCGAACATCTCGGATCGTCTCCTCATAGTACATGCTATTGTTACTCCAGAGAGGGGGCCTTGTGGAGGCGTAGTGAATGGTGGGAGATCGTCCTTGGCTGGTGACGTGCCGATCTCGACGTTCCGACTAGCCTCTGTGTGCCTGTGCCGGTTCGTAGTGCGATTGTACATGCATGCCGTTTAACCGAGAAAGCCATGATAGTAATCATGGGTTTTCTCGTCCTAAGGTAGCTTGGAATCCTGCGATCGGCAGATAATGCTCGGACTCCCGCATAGAAATACCGGTTTGATACACCGGGCGGTTCCGGGCCGGTTGCCCGATCGGTGGGAAGCCCGAACCAGTCTTCTCAACATGAACCACTACCGGCATTCAATAAGCCGGTAGATAGAAAGCCCTTGAATCAGCGGTGGACCTATATTCAAAATCAACAGTTTGAATCGATTTTGTTAATTGATTGCACTAATATGGAAAAGAAGGAGGTATCTGGCAATTTTCTTCTCGCCGACTCTGGACAGGCCAATGTCCGGGAACGCCAAGCTGTCCAGTCGGTCTCTGTGGACTCTGCTCAAGTCACTCGACTGACCTAATCTAAGATTGCCAGAATTGGGAGCGATACACTCAGATCTGCCCTTTCCGCCGTTCGTTCGAGCATCTATCTGTCACAAGAATGAGGTTGCCTGGAGGAATTGCTAAACACGAGGAGAAGTAATACGGTAATAGACGTCCCACTTTAATGGCATTGTCAACCATCGTCGACAATCCACTTCATTTTCTGACATAGTTTAGGCACCTTGCAGTAGTATGAATGACTTCAGATACGGCTACAATAGTCAAGGCTGGGAGATTGGACATCGCATTTCGTTTTATTTTTTATCCGGTTCTGTGTGCGCTTTGGGGTGGTACGATTGATTGTACATGTAGAGATCACGCAACTCCCCACTATTGCGAGAGGAAGAAATACGCGACGCCTGAGCCAGTCAGGCAATTATCTCTTCCATCATCCATCCAAAAACATATAGTTTCAATCATGGACGTTGATGCCGAATTCGCTGCTTTTGTCATTGATGACTTCGGGCTGTCGGTACGGGTACAGGTGCCGAGCACCGTCGAGGGTCTGCCCCGATTCAACCAAGCATTTCTAGATCCATAGGAAAGAGCCTATGTGCAGCATATCGACTTCCATATCGTTCTACCAACGGTTAGTTACAAACGTATGAAGAAATTACAGAGCAGAAAGGGGGCAGCGGAGAATGACGCGATATTCACAAGAGCTATTGTGACTTTCCTTTGTCGGCTGGCCAAGTGGGAACGGCGACGGTACGGCCCTGGTATCAACCTGAAAATTGCGGTGGAGTCGCCAACGGATAGGCTAGTGGAGGAGATGGAGGAGGACGGCGAACTGAGAAGCACTCACAATCACCGGGTTGCGCCGATATAGCAAGTAAGAGACCACTTTCACTACCTGCGTTTTGACCACAGCCTCTTATCACCATCCGACTCGGGCCAGGCAAAGCTACCGTAGGTGCCATGTGTGTCTGAGTTCGAGTTCGACGGTGGGCCTGGTGGACGGAACTTTCACCCGGACGCAATTTCCGCCATCTCAAGTTCACTCTCATCAGCCAGAAAGATGGAATGGAGTTTTAGACTCCCGACTCGCCGGTTGACGCGTGCCCGCAAGCAAGTCAGATCTTCCCTTGGAAACGCTCTACTCAAGACATCGTTCCCGAGCCTCATTGTGTTCAGGATCAAGGTCGACGACAAAGATTCCATGGACGAAACTGACATTGTCGAATCATTGATGAGCGAGGATGAAGAGGAAGATACCTTGTCTCTAGGCGTTCGCTGCTTGTGTCAACTCCCAAACCTTCGGCGATTACATTTGAAAACACTCTGGACCTTGTCACCTGTAGCGTTTGGGTCTCTTGCAAACCAGTCAGATATCCATTATCCCTCTTTAGAGTATCTCCATATCGACTGCTCAATGACAACACCCGACGCTAAATACTTGCTTACCAGGGACCAAAGTAGAGCCTTAGCCGATGATAGTGGGTATGGCATCGAGCACGACGAGAAGATCGCCGCCTTCGATTCGGATGACTCCGACATATCTGATTTTCTGCCAGATTTTGAATGATCTAGACAAGCTGGCGAGTTTCCGGGACGATGGTTTAGATACACCCCCGAATCAGGAATCCTTGTAGCCTTGGCTACATCATTTCTCGGCGCTGTTGATAGGATGCCGTCATTACGTCGGATGGACATTCACTTGGCGGTACGTCAACGACAACGAGGGCGCCTTTAGATATGTTGTATTTTGCACCTCGAGAACCAAATTTAGGTGCAAGTCAGCTCGATGGTCGCGAAGCATGTGACGAGGAAAATGCAGGCCGTCCTAGGTGGTTCTTCCTTGGAGGACGCAAGTTTGACAAGCAATGGCATATCTCTGAAGAGTTACAGGAGGCGTGCAAAAGAAAGTCTGGCCTAGGGCGAGTTCATTTTGCTACAAATTGATTTGAGCAGAGTTCCAAGACCACAACATCTATCTCCATCTACTATTACATTAATCCTTCTACTAGTAAATCGCGTCATTTCCATGTCAGAGTGTTCAGACTCCTTCTATTAACGTGCCAGTAATCTAGACCTCTCACGGTTCACTGTGATATGTTGCCGCCGGAACCAGGTTACGTGCCTAGCTTTGTATCTGGCTCATCCCCAGATGCGCTGAGCTATGAATGTCTCTCATTCATGCAGAGAGCTTATTTCAGTACATGACAACTAGCTTTGGATGCGAAAAAATTGAACGTATAGCCTTCTTGCAGCGAACGATTATTGGTGGTTCTGGCCAAGGCAGGAATGCTCAATACCAGGTCCTGGGAATCGATCTTTCCGCAACCTGGTCAAATTAGTACGTTGTCAACCCGTTTTGGATTCGATTCTTCTGGTAAAGCGTAGCTGACTAGCTTTGGGCATGGGACCGAACGTGAAATTCGTGACAGATGACATTGGGAAGCCCTGGACTTATGACAAGCCGTTTGATTACATCCATAGCCGCATGCTGGCGTCTTCCACCGGCGATTGGGAGAATTACATACAGAAATGTTTTGAGTTAGTCAGGGTCAGCCTTACTCGTTGCCTTGCTAACAAATTCTAGCAACCTGAATGCTGGCGGGTATCCGGAACTCAATGAGTCCGACATCATTCCCACATCCGACGACGGATCGTTGAGGGAAGATTCCGCAATGTGTAATTAATCTAAAATGATCAAAGAAGCTGCTACGATATTTGGACGCCCATTAAGGGATGTTGTGGGACTAGCAGACCTGATGAAGGGCAATGGCTTCAGGGATGTCTACATCAAACGATATAGATGACCAACCAACGTATGACCTAGAGACCCTAGTCACTAGGAGTTAGGACTTTGGAATAATGAGAACATCACATCTGGGTGGGAAGGCTTCTGTATGGCGCCGTTCACGAGGGCGAGGAACTGGACGAGGGAAGAAGTTCCGCCGCTCATGGACCAGGTTCGCCATGAGTTCAACGACAAAAGTATTCATACATACTTAAACGTGTAAGCAGAAATTCTGAATCTCAGATAGACCCTTGCTAACAGTGCTCAGATGGTCGATTCACGGCAGGAAGCCTACGGCAGAAGCGATAGGGTTTGAGGATGGCGACTGAGTGATTTGGGTAGTTGAGAATAATTCAGCTGCCAATGCTGGTCTCTTTCCGTTCTCATTTTCGGACTTATGATCACTCTCTCAAGTACAAAACCGAATTGCGGCAGTTTTAGGCCGTAAAAGCTGCTGCGTGGGTTGCTAGTTGAGATTAAATTCAAGCCTGCATCTATAACGCAGTTCTGTTACATGTTGAGTCGTTTCAGACGGAGTTCTGACGAAGTTCTTCTGATAATTGCGCAGAAATATGTCCTAAACTTTCTTTCCTTGCTCAAGTATCAGACTCTCTTTGCGGTCTTTGCTCACTGGCCCCTCTGTTCGCTAGTTGCACTGTCCTCATTGTCCACCTACAGCAACTTTGGTACTTGAGGCTGAGTGCTCAGTAACATTGTAAAAGCGAATCCCACATGATTCCGGACCATAGCAAATCTATTGTGCCCATTGATCTCATCGAACTTGTATCGTGTGGTCCTCTGGAATACCTATCTGATTGGGTTTCAAACAGAACATGCTGTGGCGCCTTTCTGTCAAGCTTGAATAAAGCATCTGGGGACTGAATGGTCTCGGTTCAGACTGCCGTCTCGGAGACTTGGTTGTCTGAACCTTATTGGATATATGCTTTTCGTCCAGTGTCGCAGCCTTGGCGGCTTCTTCCCGTCTGGGATGCGATACGTTCCCAAGTCAAAGTATATTCCGTGTGTCTCTTTTTCGGGGAATTTGAGCAAACGCCCTTCCGATGTCGACATGCTCATGCGGGCTTTCTTTAGTCCCAACGCTGCGGTTCCGATATCCTCGGATTCCCCGATTTATGCTTGGAGCGATCATTCTCCAGCGTCCTGTAGCTGGTCGTCCTTGCAGCTCGACGCCCGCCAATGACATGCGGTCCTGGGTTTCATCCTAAAACAACTTGCTCTGCTATCATCTGAAGTCAATTCCTCTTGGGTGTTCCCCAACGGACATTAGAGTTGGTGATTTTCCGCTGATCGCAGGGAATGTCTTGGCATTGGCCCACCCCCGGAAACTGCAGACGAGTCGGAGTGTAAGCCAGATGACTCGCCTGATGCTGCTGACGACAGCTTCATTGACCAGATGAGCCCGAGGCTGTATGATCAAGTCAAGATTACACTATCACTGATTGTCGGAACCTTCTAGCCAAGTGAACTAGGTTTGACTGCGACGTTTACATTGTCTGAGATGCCGCTTCGTCAGGGACCACCTCACGAGGCCGGCCACTACGCATCTGAGTTGCTGACTCTTCAGCATCTCTTTTCGATCAAAGAAGATGAGTATAAAACCGTTGGTAAATCCAACTGCATTCCATATTCTATCCCGGTCGTCGCACCACCCAATCATTACTTTACTGTCTCTTCCACAACATCCGACAGGATTCGGATCTCTATCACTTTACTTACTTAATCTCATAAGACAATCATTCAACCTAACTCCTTGAAACGTTCAAGATGCGCCTTACACTCGCTTTACTTCTCTTCTTGGTCGTTCTCACTGTGGCTCTTCCAGTAGCCAATCCCGCCAATAATAAATCCTCCACCACCAAGGCAACTACGAAGGCAACCACTAAAGCACCCACTAAGGCAACAAACACAAAGCCATCTTCTGATAAGAAGAAACTTGAGAAGGGCATCAAGGATAATCTTAAAGCCGGCGACAAGGAGATCTCTGCCACTGAGAAGGCACAGAACGCTGCGAAGAAGAACGACGCCAAGGGCCTGAAGAAGGACGAAAAGAAGATCAATAGCGCGTTGGACGAGGCAACCAAGGATCGTCAGAAGAACCAAAAGATCGCTGGTAATAAGGACCCTGCCCTGACCAAGGGACTGGGAAAGGTCGAGAATGCGCAGAAGGGTGCGAAGCAGACAGTCAATGGCTTGACTGGCGACCCTAAGAAGGATAAGGGGTCGTTGGATAAGCTCGATGCTACGTTCAAGAAGGGCAAGAAGACTAATGAGGAGAACCTTAAGGAGGTAAGTTATACCGATCATGATACCTCGGCATTTCTGACTAACGCCGCTCAATCAGGCCAAGAAGAACTTCAACTAGTCCCATGGCATTGACTGTGATAGGTTCAAATGCTTGGTCTATCATTGCAGAAGACATGCAAAGTCCCTGAATTATTTAGTTACAAAGGGATCAGAGAGAAGCATCAGTTGGGAAGCAATTAGATCAATTTTATAGGCACAATGAATCCACTGGACACTCAAAGAAGATTCGTGGAAAATTATTTTGAAGCTATATCCATCCGTTACCCAAGTGCTCTTGATATATGACGCAGATGGCTCTCCATATGAAAGCCATTCATCTTCAACTGCATTGATATACCGTGAGAGGTATTCAAAACGTTCCTTGAAAGTACTCCGCAACCTGGGGTGGGAGCTGGCGATACGCTTCAAGCTTTGCATCGACGATAAGATCTTCAAGAGTTGCCTTCTCGTATCCTTGGACCTCCCAGATATCGGTCCCAACCATTTTAGCTTGCTGGCCAGTGCCCCATATCTTACGGCAGTACCAAGCCAGGGTGAAGAGACTACCTGATTTGAGCCCTTCTTCGACTTCGGAATTGACTCTCTCAAGACTCAAGGAGGAGAGACGAGGAGGAAAGCCGTGCTTCTTTTCCAACGTGGTAGCAACATGTTCTCCAGTGACCTTCAACTCTGAAATTGAGATTGACCTATTTTGAAGCTGAGCAATTGGTGTCGAAGCGAAGATAGCAGCATATGCCGCGGCCACGTAATTTCTAGTGCTAATCATCACATTGTTAAGCATTCGAATTTGCTCAGATTTCAGCATCAGCCGCGACTTACCATAAGTCCACAACCTCCTTGGCACTGTTTCCCGAGTATACAATTCTGTTACCGAGCAAGTCTACACCCATGCCACTGTTATGTCGATATTCTAGTCAGCCGAGATGAAGTTCAAAGGTTGAAACGCAAGCAATAGAGGGTGATCTTACGGAGTGTTCAGTGCAAACTCTGCAAAGTTTCCAAGCAGTACCAGCGACGTTGGTATACCAGCGGCGATAGAAGCTTCCTCAACTTGGCGCTTAGCCTTGTTGACGCCGATTTTCAACCCTTGTTCGTCGTATCGACCCGCGAGCTCCGACGGCGAAAACAACTTGACTTCCGTCTTGGGTATGGCCCTGATAAAGGCATGCTGTCGCTCAACGCCTTCGTGCCCGACGAGGGAGCTGTAAGACTGTCAGAGCGTCTGGTCGGGATGGGCTGGACCCGAATGATATCTCGAGGCCGAGAAGTACTTACATTACGATGTCAATGTCGTGTAGGGCATCAACGAGGGCTTTCTCGTCGTTGACATCCACCTCCACACTGGTGACGGAGGCGGGCAGGCTTGAGATATCGGATCCTGGTCGGTAAATGATTCGAATTGGTGCCCCTGATGCGATCAAGGCTTCGGTTATCTTCGAACTTGCCCAGCCTCGATGCCCATAAATGGCGATACGATTGAAAGACGGCATACTGGGACTGAAAGATGAGAATTGACAATATTATCTGGCTGAGTAGTTTAGGGAGGTATGTGATGGGGTTAGTTACCTGGATAGCCGAATTAGAGGCAGCAAGGCAACTTACTTTATCTATCAGTTTACCAGCGTACATCTGTGTTTCAAAGCATTCACCTGGGTTACCATCTGTGAGATCTGACTAGAAGTAAGATTGGTCATTCTTGGTGGTGGGACTATGGAGAAGTTTCCAGTCTCTTATTAACGAAAACGAGGTGCATTAGCCGCCGTGCCACCTCCGTCATGGTAGATGATGATTCCCATGCATCCGACATCCCCGCTCGCTGTGTCACCAGCAGGAACAGCGGTTTCCCAACCGTATCTGTGGAACGAGACTGATTCAATTGGTCAGCCTTGGGTGCAAATAACCATAGCCGGTTCTGAGCAAATTTTGCCTCTGTATACTAATGAGGAACAGTGGGTGCATTCCGTCGATTAATAATTTGCAGGCATTAGTCAAGATGACACTACCCGGGCGTGTTTGCTTCCGATGGACTGTAGTCTCCATTCCACTTGGCCGAAGGTAGGTCAGAGTCATCATAATCTACTGTATGTAAAGTAGTTAACAGCCGGGGTTTTGTTCAGCAAAGAGGGCATTAAATATTCAAGTTATTGAGATTTGTTTTCTCAAGGTCATCCTGGTAGAAATGCAGACGTCAAGAGGATGAGATACAAGGAGAGTCGACGACAACTGTAGTATAGTAGAAATGCGAACGATTTTTATGTTATGTAGTCCATCAGTAATTCACGAAGAATGAAAGTCGGCCGATAATCGGGCTTCCAACGTTGCGATTTCGGTCGTGCAAGTTTCACGAGCCACAAGAAGATTACACATCATTAAACAACCCTTCGCTGTCCGCCAAGGTGAAACGGCCACGACTAGAGTCATCTCTCACCGAGTTCTTCACCTTAGACAGTATAGGAAATCTCAGGTAAGCATGCCTAGTACGTTCCGGATTTCCTCCCACTCAGTCTCCCATCCGGCAGCGGCAGCCGAGTGTAAGCTACGGCCGCCTTCGCATCGCCGCGGTCCGCTTCGCAAATCAGCGGAGGCCGCGCACGAACGGTTGGAGGAAATGACATCACATGGCACCCTAAGACTCGGATGTCCGTTTGTCGTGCTAAGGATGGCATCTGATTCAGCGTCTCTTTGCCAATGTTTTCGAGTTGGCAGGTGATGAGAGATCAGATTGTGATCGTGCATTTATAAGGAGTCTCCCCTCATTCCTAACTAGAAAGCAAGTGCATCGTGATAGTGTCCTACGCAGTTTGACGTCTATACTTCAAGATGAAAGAACCGCAGCGACGTTTACGATACAATGTCGCCATATCACTCGATGGCTTCATCGCGCCTCCAGATGGGTCAACAGATTGGATCGTACAAGACGACAACATCGACTCTCAAGCACTTTATGCCCAGTTCGACACGTTTGTTATGGGCGAGCAAAACCCTCTACGACGATACCCAAAGCAGAAACTGGTTGTTGGTAGCAGGACTCAGAGGAGCGACGATCACCCGAGTGTGACTATCGTATCGCACAACTTCACCGGCTACGTGGCGGACCTCAAGAACGTGGAGGGCCGGGATATCTGGCTCATGGGCGGCGGGCAGCTGGCGGGGCCGTGTCTGGATGCGGGGATCCTAGATTCCGTTGAGACCGCGATCATGCCCGTGATGCTGAGGAAAGGAATCAGAATGCTGCCGGACTCGGCGCTCACGCCGCTTGGGGGATTCAAGTTGGAATTGGTGGATTGCAAAAAGTTGGACACGAGTGGCATTGTGAACTGCAAGTGCAATGTCAGCAGGGGAATGGCTGCGTCTCTGGGTGAAGCATTATCATTCTGTTGAAGGGAGGCAGTGGACATGAAAAAGGTTCCGATATACCCTCACGCGGTGAAACTCCCTCAACCATCGTGCAAAGTTATTGTTCAAAAGTTACTTGAGTTGCTTGGAGGCGGAAGAATGTTATTTTGACTTCAAAATTTTGTAACTCATTCAGTGTCTTTATGTTCCCCATGCGCCTGCCTGTCTATGATTTCTTGGTAGAAATGAAGAAGCCTTGTGCGACCTGGAAGTACTAGACCTTGTGGTAGTCTGTTGTGGAGCACCACCATCAAACAAGTCGGCTGTTGGTAATGTCGAGATGAGATTGGCAACAGAAACCTTCGCAACCAACAGCGCCCCTGAAGCCTGCATCTGCAGAAATGACGTGAACATATTTGGCGTGTTGAGGGGTAAGTGAAAAACAAACGAGTCGTTCCGTCGGTGCCAAATCTGTCCGAGCGCGTGCCTTCATCCCTCGAAGACCACTAGCAAGATTTTTAATCTTGCGCAGAACGATCTGGGAAGACAACGTCCAAAGGATTCAAGTTCGCGTTTTAGTCGAACGAATGCTTAAATCCGTAGCGCAAACACCATCTTACCTCCGCTATTTCCTCACCATTGACTTCAATTTGTTCTAAGGTAGGGGTGCACTGCGCCTAAATACCTCAGCTCGTGACCATCATTACTTCAAATCGATTGAGCAACTATCGAACTCTTTGAAAATCAAGATGGCATTAAATCAATTCAAAAAAGTCTTGATTCTGGGAGGTACCGGGAAAGTCGGCCGTCAGATCACAAAACTCTTCGCGACGACATCTACACTCACTTTTCAAGCCTCCCGAAACGGAGCTGTCACCACGGAGCCGGAGGCCGGCAATGTCAAGCCTATTGCCTTCGATTGGGGGAACGAAGGGACATGGACGGCCGCGCTAGACCTTGGCGCGACAAGCATCTTTCTGGTGGCTCCGCCGGTCATGGACATGCTCCCACCGATGCAGGCTTTCATCGACCAAGCACGGCGGCAGGGCCCGACCACTAGATTTGTGCTGCTGAGCGGGAGCCTCACAGAACCTGACATTAACGGTTACGCGATGGGCCGACCGCATGCGTACTTGAAGGAACTTGGCGACATGGGCCAGATAGAATGGGCTGCGCTGAGGCCGACGTGGTTTCAACGTGAGAATCTGGACTGTGCCCTGAGAGAAAGCCAATGAGCTAACATAAAAGAAGAAAACTTCGCGGAACAAGACAATCACCGGCTAGCGATTCGGAGTGAAAGCACGATTTACTCCGCTACGGCGGATGGAAAACTTCCTTGGGTCGCAGCGGAGGACATTGCGGCCTGTGCATTCCAGCTACTCACCCAAGAAGATGCGCCAAATGACGAGTATCTCATTTTTGGCCCTGAGCTGCTCGGCTACGATGACGTGAGTACCATAAGCCGGTCTGAACCCATATAACGATATTTTTTCTAAAGCACATAATAGATCGCAGCTATACTCTCCGAAGTTTTGGGTCGAAAGATTGTTCACAAACGTCTCTCGGTGCAGGGACTTGTTGAGCGTTACGTCGCTCAGGGCATGCCGCGGGACTACGCGGAGATGATGGGCGGGTTGGACACGGCTATCAAGAACGGGAGTGAGAACCGGACGAACAGTGTCGTCCTTGCGGTGACTGGAAAGCAGCCAAGGAAGTTCCGTGAGTTTGCAGAGAGAAACAAGGCAGTCTGGGCGCAAGATGTCTGAAAGCATGTTCACAACAGGGGGCTCTTCAGGCTTGAAGTGAGAATTGGCTCACCGAACTCAGGTGAGAAGGATGAGTGCATGCGGCAGTGACGCTGTAAGATGCCTTCTGCCCTTGCTCATACTATCTGGTCGCTCCACCAGACTTTCGTTCTCGGTGAGCATTCCATGTCGCCTGTACGTACATAAAAACGAGTACAAGGCAAAAAAGGTTTCGTTTTCAGTCAGCAAACGCCGCCGTTTTCAGCCGAAAGCTAATACAGCTTGTCCTCGCGTGCGGGGATGTGCGCTAAGGTTGAAACAAGTCATGAGATCACAAAGCCTCCCTGCGTGCCTGAAAGTCTGCGACATGAAATGCAAGCTCATTGTCCTTTCTACAACACCTACCTAATCAGATTGCCCAAACTCCAGTTCGAATGACTTGCGCATGAATCCCACGATATGGACTCATCATTTGTCGCGATTGAGCATGGAATGCCGGGGAAGGCCGGCGGCCGGGGTGATGCCCGGAGGCCGGAGGAGGCGGCGAATCCATTGACGTACCCCAAGGCGGCCGAGCCATTCAGTCAGGACCTCTTCAAGAATCCAACGTCAGAATATAGAGGGTGCCCTTTGTGGTCATGGAATACGAAGCTGGAAAAGAAGAAGCTCCTCCGCCAGATTGACCATCTCAGTGAGATGGGCATGGGGGGTTTTCACATGCACGTCCGGACCGGACTGGATACCGAGTATATGGGTCCGGAGTTCATGGATCGTGTGCGGGACTGCGTGGAGTATGCGGAGAGTAAGGGGATGCTCGCCTGCTTGTAAGGAATCGCAAATCCTGATCATTGTTCAATGAGATTGCTGACGACACTCATCAGATATGACGATGATCGGTGGCCCTCCGGCGTTGCTGGAGGCAAGGTAGTAAAGCAATACCCAGAGCATAAGACGAAGCACATTCTGTTCACGCCGTATCCATATGGCTCAGTTGAGCTCGGCGGGTAAGTCTTCAGGCCATTCTTCTTGTATCCATTTAACGCGAGTTTTAGTGGATGCGCCCCAAGTTCAGCACAGGCCTGCCGAAGTGAAGAGGGATACCTGTTAGCACGATTCTCAATCACACTCGATGAGAATGGACGCCTGAAATCGAACAAGAAACTCGAAGAAGGTGAGGATGCTGAACCAGGCGGTAGAGTCTGGTACGCATATGTCGAGATCAATCCCCCGTCATCTTGGTTCAACGGGCAGACCTACATCGATACGATGAGCACTGAGGCCATGAACCGCTTCTTAGAGAGCACCCACGAGGTTTACAAGGATAAGATTGGCGACAAATTTGGCACAACAGTGCCCTGCATCTTCACCGATGAACCTCAAGTAGCTATCAAGACACAACTTTCCAGCCCGACTGGAGTGGAAGATGTCTTTCTTCCATGGACAGCAGATTTACCCGACACATTCAAAGCGACGTATGGTGAGGGTGCAGATCTCGTGGCCAGCATTCCGGAATTGCTCTGGGATCTCCCGGGGGACACCCCAAGTTTATCTCGCTACCGATTCCATGACCATGTCAGCGAAAGATTTGTTACCTCATTCCTCGATCTGCTGGCAAACTGGTGCAGAAAGAACAAGATCATTCTGAATGGCCATATGATGGAGGAGCCCACCCTGCGTTCTCAAACAACTGCCCACGGCGAAGCAATGCGCTGCTACCGAAATCAGACGCTTCCGGGTATGGACCTTCTGAACGACTGGGTCGAGTATAATACCGCGAAACAGTGCACGAGCGTCGCCCGCCAGAACGGTGTTCGCGGCGCCATGAGCGAAATCTATGGGTGCACCCACTGGTACTTCACTTTTGAAGGGCACAAGGGCTGCGGAGACTGGCACGCGGCTCTCGGCATCACGTTCCGCGTGCAGCACCTCAGTTGGGTCAGCATGGCGGGCGAGGGCAAGCGCGATTATCCAGCCAGTATCGGGTACCAGAGTCCATGGTATAAGGAGTACGGCTACGTCGAGGACCATTTCGCTCGTGTTGGTGTTGCCTTGACGCGCGGCAAGGCCGTCACGCGAGTTGGTGTGATCCACCCCATCGAGAGCTTTTGGTTGTGCTTCGGTCCTAATAATAGCGGTGACGATGAGATTGGCCGCCGTGATCAGGCTTTCGCCGAGCTCACAAACTGGCTGCTGCATGGGTTGGTTGACTTTGACTTCATCTCCGAGAGCCTTCTCCCGAACCAAATCGGTGAAGATATCTCGAAGCCTCTCAAAGTTGGTCAGTGTGAGTACGATGTCCTCATTCTGCCGAACCTACGAACTATTCGGTCATCGACCTTCGAAGTTGTGAAGAAATTCGCTGCAGCTGGGGGTACCGTCATAATCGCTGGTGACGGCCCGGTTCTTATTGATGCTCAGGCTGCACCGCCGGATCTTAGCCTTGACATCGAGCCGTCGGTCAAAGTGGCTTGGGGTCAAGGGGATATCCTCTCTGCCGTATCTCAGAACCGTGACTTGAAGATCGACTTGAAGGATGGGGGACCCACGGATACCCTTCTCTATCAGATGCGCCAGGATGAGGATGAAAGATTTGTCTTCATCTGCAACACCGATAGAAATAACCCATACGACACGCTGGTCAACATCAAGGGCGACTGGGATGTGGAGGTTTTGGATACCTTCACCGGCTCAACTCGTCATCACAAAGCTCGTTATGAAGGTGGTTGGACCATCTTCGATCACAGATTTGAAGGCTGCGCAAGCCTACTCCTGAGACTCTACCCCGTGCCAGGGGAGGAACTGTCTTTCGTCAGTATCGAAGAAGCAGTAGCGCTAACCCCAGCCCAACACGCGCCTGCTGAAATCAAGCTCGAAGAAGTCGTGCTTTCGGAGCCAAACGTTCTAATGCTTGATTACGCGCTGTACAGAATCGACGATGACCCATGGGAGGACTCTGAACGACAAGAAATCCTCAAGATCGACAATGAGATTCGAGGACGTCTGCGCATTCCAGCTAAGGGTTCCGCCTGGAAGCAGCCCTGGTCCGTCCCGCAGTCGGAGCGAGCAGCAAAGGTCTATGTTGACCTCAGGTTCGAATTTGATTCCACCGTCATTATCAAAACTCTAGCCTACCTCGCGATGGAAAATCCCGAAAACGCAAGAATCACCATTAATGGCAACAAACTCCTAGTCGAGGAGAAAAGGCTTTCTTGGTGGGTCGATGAGGATATCAAAACCATTTCGATCCCGAAGAAAACGATTCGCAAGGGGAAGAACATCATCGAGCTCAGTATGCCCTTTGGTGTTTTGACAAACCTGGAGAGGATATACTTACTTGGCAGCTTCAGCGTCGAGCTGAAGAACAATCTGCCTATACTATGTGAACGAAGACAGAGCTTGGGTTGGGGCGATGTGGTTACACAAGGTCATCCATTTTACGCTGGTAACGTGACGTACAACTGCAGCTTCTCACTGAAGTCTTGCTCGACTGTCACCCTCTCGATTCCAAAGTTTGCGACGCCCGTCATCAAGGTTCAATGGAAGGGGAAGAGCGGGCACATTGCCCTACAGCCAAGGAAGCTAGATCTTGGGGAGCTAGAAGCCGGCAAGCACGAAATCTCGATCACAGCCTTCGGTTACCGGTACAATTCATTTGGTCATATACATCTTACAGAAGGTGTCTTTGGATGCTGGCCTGATCTGTGGCGAAGTAAGTGATCTAGTGGTAATCATTGTATGGCAGCATGCTAACATAATCCTCAACAGCTGGTGGATGGGCTTGGAGCGAGGAGTATCTGTTGAAGCCTACCGGAGTCCTGGAAAAGCCTTCCTTGATTGTGGAATCTAAGGCCGGCGAGGGGAGTGAAGAGTGGATTGTCTTGGCCGAATAAGTATCTCAGCCTTGGCTTTTTTGCAACCGCGATCAAGGAGGATGAACAAAATTGTACGGTCATTTAGTCATAGGCGCTATTGGTGACGTTTTACTGCAATACTACTTTTCTGAACGGAAAATGAGAACCGGAATGCCCTGTCGAGACTGAAGAGAGGCAGCCCCATTGTACATCTTGCCGTTTTCCAGCTGAGCATCGTGTGTCGCAATTGTATTCATCCACTGAGACCCCTAACCTGGAGAGCCATGACAACGCTTCCATTAGCACCGACATCTACAGACACGCCAAACCTATCAGATGTCTGGGGCAATGAATCTGCCGAGAATAGTGTACCGTTGCCGATGAGATCAAGGTATGTTCCGGCGACCTGATGTTGTCTGTCAGAATTGTATTCTACAGACACTGCAAGCATGTGAAGCGTTCACTTACACCGAACAGAGATGACGGTTCGGCTGCTTGATAACAGACGAGACTGCCGTTGCTTGCGCTGCAAGGCTCGTAGCCACGGATGGCGACTTCTTCGACAGGAGTTCCGACGGTATTGAATGGATAGCAGGCTAAACTTCCCGTAATGATGTTGCCGTAACCGTTGATGCAGCCAATTCTTTGGCCGTTCTGAAATGCAAGAAGCTCAAACGTCCTTGGGATTGTTGCAAAAGTACCGTAGATGGAGCTAAGCGTCAGGACAATGGATTTCAGTTGCATTTTGAAGTATCAGGTGGGATATTGGTTTGAATAAGTATCAAGTCCCAACTATCTTTTGGTGATACTTTGCCTTTCGATGCCCGACATTTATACTCGGATGCATCCTTTGTTGCCTGGGGATCAATGGTTTTGAAAAGGCAAACAGCAGCGCCACCGTATTACTATGGGCAGAGCAAGTGCATTAGGCTTAACATTCTACTCTGGAGGATTTCAACGAGCAAATTGATAACGCTAGGACAATGGCCATGCTGTGCAATTCTTAGGTTTCACATAAAACGATGAAATATCACGATGGATCCTTGAAACAATCAGAACTGATGTCATTCTATTTGAAGACTTGGTTTTCGGGTGTCATCTCATGGTCCGCGTAATCGTAGCTGACTCTCTAAGAACCGGAGACATGAAGCAGGAATCTGGATGCCACTTTAGTGTTGGTAGAATGAAGAGCGAGGACACGAACTGCGGTGGAAATGAGATTGATCCCTACAGTGGCTAAGTGGAAACTAGCCTCGACCTCCTGGATGTCGTTTCTTATTGACCAGAAGTGGTTGGAGGCGCTATTAATGAGGTTTGTGGCACGAGCAGAATCCTGATCCATGCACGATGCAGCATGCCCCAAGACAAAGGACGTGTACTTGCGTAAGTGCTGGATGGTATTCTGTGGTAGATCATAGTATTCTATGAGGGATGCTTCGCAGCCTGAGAATTGTCTAGCTGGCATCATCTAAAGTTCAAACTCCAGACCCTCGCAGGCTAAAATTACGATGCAGAAAGCCATCATTGTCATACGGCTTAGTGTAATCTATTTGGCGCCAGGCCTGAACAGTTTGAAATAGATGGAATGAGTCAAGACTCTTAGAAGTTCGAAGCCGAGGTCATGTTTCTTGCCCATCTTTCTGCACTACAAGCAGTCCTTTATAGGAAGAAGACTGAGTTCACTCAAACACAAGGCGGTTCTAAGCCCCTCCTTAACGCATTCCCCTTTGCCCAAAGGCATCGACCACTCTATCGCTCAATCTTCAAAATGCGCGCGCAAGATTCATCTGGGAGCTGCAAGCACACCGTGCTGTCCGCACCGGCCAATTCCACCTTCGTTGTGAACCTGGTCGGATATAGTACACTGACCCTCCTGTCTTTGTATGTTCACAACCCCTTGCCAAGCGAGACAGTCATTTCAGTCGGTCCATCTCGTCTCCAGACAGCGAGGTAGGTAGTCTTGCCGTCTGCCGAAGTCAAAGCAAGGGCCACCCAGTCGTCGTGCCATTTGGGCAGACCCAAGGGCCACGTGGGATGCGCGTGACGCAGGTCTCCTCGCATACTATTGTAGACTTCCAAGCCCTCTTTGACAATGGCCAGTTGATCGTCGCTGAGAAGGTCGACGCGGCCGGATAGGTAGACGCGGCCCATATGCTATTGACCAGGCTCAGGGCGTTGAGCTTATTACTGCATCCTGGCTGAGGGTAGGCCCAGCTAGCACTTTGCTCCAGAGTCACAGCCGTGGGACATGCGGCTGCGATAGCAGCGTAGAGCTTTGGATCTTGCTGGTCGCTCGTAGATTGGATTGAGTGAACGGCTAGCATGGCGTAGTCTAGACGGTTCGCCCCTCCAGAGCATGTCTCAATGACGACGCCGGGATAGTTGTCCAGAAGTGCCCTTATCCAGCCTAGATAGGCGTGCTGGTGCTCCAGATGGGCGGCGCCTGCAGTGCCTTGGCCGTCCACATCGGTGCCCTGCAGCACGTCGATGTTATAATCGAACTTGAAATGTTTAACACCATAGTGGTCGATGAGATTTGGCATGACCTTGTTCATCCAGACTATGACTTCGAGGTGGCGGTAATCAAGTGTCCATCGTCGTTTCTCCACCACACGGTAACCGTCCTCCTGGAAAAAGGCCTCATTGGGCAGTTGGCTGCCTACAGGGCTACGTACACCGGCCACCTCTGGCTCCAGCCATATGCCGGGAATCAGTCCTTTGTTTCGGATCTCGCCCATGAGCTTCATGAAGCCTGACGGGAAGCGCTTGGTCGACGGCTCCCAGAGGCCCACGTCGTCCCACCAGTTGCCGTCGTCGGCGTACCAACCAGCGTCTATCACAAAATACTCGGCACCGAGCTGCACGACTAGTTCCAGCAGCGCGCAGACCTTGTTTTCGTCTGGATCTCCCATGAAGCAGTTCATATAATCATTGAAGATGATTGGCATCCTTTCCATGTCGTTGTGGGGCCTTCGAATCTGCTTTCTATAGTCGGTTATGGCCGCAAACGCTGCCTGTTCGTCGCCCTGAAAGCGACAACAGGCAATTGAAACAGTTGGAAAGGACTGGCCGGACGACAATCGTTTCTTCCAACCGTGGCTACTCAGCATTGGACCACCGGCGGCGAGGTAGATGCTATCTTTAAAGTCGCCTAAGTCCTATCTCCACGATCCGTTGTTGTCGATTTGCCACATTCATGTATTCTTATCCTTACGGTGCTTGAGCGCGCCCATGGGAAGATGGCCACCCGTGGAAAAGGAACCACGGGAGCTCAGCTCGAAGTGGGCAAGGGAAGCTAGGAGGCCGTCTCCCAGCTCCAAGATGCCGTTGTTGTCGAGACCAACACTTGGAAGTGAGCGCTCCTCCCATTGCCCCTAGCGGAACTAGGTGCTGTTGGCATACAAGAGAGAGTAATCCTCAAACCATCGGGAAAAAGTAGACGTCATGTTCCCGATGGTCAGAGTGGATATGTTGGTGAGGACGATGTCTACATTATTGGTGGACTGGTTCATAACGGTGGTTTGAGCGCGCACCACGAGAATGCTGCCGTAGATGGTATAGCTAACTTCCACATGAATGTTTGTGGTATTGTCGCTACCCTCCACAATCAGCGTCTCGTTAGAGCCGTCGTCGCTTTTGATGATTCTATGGCTCTGGTACCGCAGTCGGTCAGAAAGAGTGGTACCAATGAGCGTCTTGGACGTCTTGGTGTCACCACTGCCTTCGCCGCTCATACGAATGCTGACAAGTGGAAGCTTGGAAGATTCAAAATTGGGTGAAGAATGCGGAGATGGCTCCACGGTGGTTGGCAAGATACGATCCAGGCAGATGACGCCGGCGTTATTGGCCAAAAAGCTAATTTTGAGAGTATCAGTATGCCATTGAATTGTCTCTGTCTGCTTCTCAACCATCTTGGGCTTTTGGGTACAAGTCTCAGTAGAATTGGTCTGCTGTGTGGTGTGGTGTGGTGTCGCGTTGTGCCACGAAGGAATAAGGCAGTGGGAACACAACAGATGATAGCGGCATTGGGATTGAGAAGCAATTACTATGTATTTTACATTTAGCAAGCCTCTCTTGACAATCCCTTATGTTGCTTGAATTATGAACTGTGGCGAGTAACGCCTGCTTGATGAGATATCACAGGCACTCAAATCTGTGTGGTGTAACAAACACTGCGCCAGAGGCGCGTATGGTCACGAATTGCATTGAGAGGCCGATCGAGAGTCATTCACCGAGCAGCGGGGACGGCGCCCCGATTAGCCCCACCTCCACCCCCACGCCCGGGCCCGAAAGTCAGGCGGGCGCCCGCGGCTGTGGATGAGGAACAGCACAGTACTGGTGGCAGCGTTCTGCAGCTTGCCGCATCGATCGATCCTCTCAACGTAACTTGTCTTAATGCACTTCAAGGTGATAGTCACGAGCTATCTTTCTTCACGTCAGGTCAGTACCCAAGGCGCCCATAACCTCACGGGTACGGGGGCTGAAGGTAGGTGGGGGTGGGGGTTAAGTCAGTGAATCCATGATCGTCACTGTTCTTATCTTCCACCCACAATTTGGCAAGAATTTCATGTCTGTCCCCAACCTAGTCTATTCGAAGGTCTCCCTAGTACTCAAGCCCCTTTGACACAGTCCCCTCTGTGAGCTTGAAGGCCGATGCCTGCTTCTGCATGTGGTTTCAAATAGCTTTCATCTTCATCTCCAGATCGCTCAAACACTACCTGTAGAGAATTTTTGCAGCTTATTTACTTTTTAGTGGTGGGCTCATTGTGACCACGGTGCCATGTTTAGAACGAATCTGATCAATATGCCGATACTTCGAACTTGAACATCAATGGATGAATTTTCACCTTGGTCATTTGCTTTGACTCCGTGATAGTACACGTATGTCCCATGTAACTCCACATGCAGAACCTATCGCAAAAGTCATCACCAGCTTCTAGATCATCACGATAGGCTGGTGGAACAATTTCATTTTGTAGTGGCTTCGCCTAATTGAGTTGAAATTCTCTGATCCTGACGGACAACTAACTTCTATCATCATCATCCTACTTCACCTTGAGCCTTGGCGTCCAGACTCGCATGGCGCCGTTGCCTCCACGGTTTGCGCGTAGGAAATACGGAATGGCTGTCAACTGCAGTGACTCGACATCATATTCCCACGCCTTAGGACCGTAGAGCCGACTCCGCTCACCCGTGACAACGCCCACGCGAGCTAGCTTGCGGCCTGTGACCTTGAGGGGAACAACATCATGAGTGGTCGCAATAGATACGGGCGATCCCTCCTGAGGTGCTCGCTCATCTTCCAAGGCGATGTGGTCAATGTCTACGGCCTCGTTGTCGACATCCTCCAGACAATACACGAACGGCCCCCGACGGATGCAGACCGCGTCCTTGCCCGTCTTAGGGTGCGCGTACAGCCGGTGAGCCGGTGTTGGAAGCGAGAGACGAACTTCAGTGCCTTCCAGGACGTCGGTGATGTGTAGATATCCCTGGTTGAGCTCGCCTTCCATAGAGCATGTGTACCCTTGGTCTTGCACCCAGTCAGGAATCCGCAGTGCCAGCCTGGCAGCACCTTCAACGCGAATAGTGACCTCGCCGGACCAAGGCATCTCGGTTATGACGGATAGCTTGACCCCTTTGCCTCCCAGCGTCAGTTCTACCTCACTCTGGACGTACATATGGACGGCAACAAGGTCCTCAGCATCATCGGTGGAGTAGAGAAGTGAACCCAGCGATCCGACGAGCTTAGCCACATTGGGTGGGCAGCAGGCGACGCCAAACCATCGCTCGCGATCTTTGGACTGTCCGGTTTTGGTTCGTAAGACGTTTTGGTAGTAGAAGGCCTCGCCGTCGGAGCTGATGGCGCCGAGAAAGCCGTTGTACAGGCAGTTCTCCATGACATCCGCGTACTCTGAGTTGAGCTCCATCTGGAGCATTCGCTGACACCACATAATGAGAGCAAAAGCTGCGCAAGTTTCGCCGTAGCACCCCTCCATCTCTAGGTCGTTGAGGATAAATGCTTCGCCGAAGCCCTCGTTTTGGCGGTACGAGCCAATGGCGCCCGTAACGTACATCTTGCAGTCTACCATGTTCCTCCAGAGCCGCTGAAGCGCCAGCTTGCACTCGGCCACATCAGGATCCGACGCGGCCTCGACGCGAATAAGGTCGGTGACGGCCGTGTAGTAGTACATAGCGCGCACGGCATGTCCTTTGATCTCGGCCTGCTCGCGTATGGGTCGGTCAGCCTGGTTGTAGGCATAATCTCTAGGGCCATGAAACCACCCTTTGACCTCGCTGCCCAGACCATCGTACGGGTCGGCACCGCGTGCAAAGGCTTCGTGGTCAAAATACGTCTCGCCATTGTCGTCTTGTGTGCCTCGCTCCAGGATGAAGTACTTGGCGAGCTTCAGAGCCAAGGGGTGGCCAGTCATATCGTAAAAGCGAAGCAACCCTAGCTCGATTTCCTGGTGGCCGGGATATCCGCGCTTTTTGCCCTCCTCGCGGCCAAATATCGAGTCGATGTGATGCATGGATTTAGTTGCCACTTCCAGAAGGCGTCCGCTTTTGGTGAGAGTCTCGTAGGCTACGGTCGCCTCGTAGAGATGTCCAAGGCAGTAAAGCTCGTGGAGGTCGCGCAGATTGGTCCAGCGATTCTCGAGGCCACGGACAGTGTAGAAAGAGTTGATATAGCCGTCCGGATGCTGGGCATTACGAATCATGTCGACAGTCTCCTCCACAACCCGTAACATATCCTCGTTTGGGTGCATGAGTAGAAAGTTACAGGCTGCCTCCGTGGTTTTGTAGATATCGCTGTCCCAAAAGGCGTGGGGCTGCGGTCGGTGGCCTTTCTTCCATGTGAGGCAATCCCAGTGGCCCTCGGTCTTTTGTGCCTTGATGATAGAAGGCACCGTGGACTCGCGGACACATCGCTGGAATTTGGCCCAGAATGGTGATGTCACGCGGGCACTCTGGAATGATACGCTACTAAGCGGCATACTGGCGGACGGCGGAAGAGAAACTCTGCGTTTGAGGTCCTGTGACTGGAAACCTGTTCGAGATGGGGATTCAGTTTCGGAATGGGCAAGGTCGGCAAAGATGTGAGAAAGGAGAGGGGAGCGTCAATGCTTAAGAAGCCAGGGGAAAACAAGGAGAACATGTTCACACATTCTGTATCAGTGAGCCTTCAACTCTGGAAGGCCTGTGGCCATTTGAAGGAACGAGTCAGACTTGGATGCGGTTGACGGCACAAGATCCGCGCTGGGTTCATGAGAGGGGCCCCAGTTTGGTCCAGTGTTGAGCGAGGTTTATTCAGGCCCATGCTACGCACGCTAGAGGTTATCTGTCCTCGGGTAGTCCTACTAGCATACTCCTGTAAGCTGTAAATCCGATGGCGTTGAAAACACCGACCTAATGCAAAGTACCTATAGAAACGTGGATTTGAGAGGAGAGAACGAACCCCTCTCCCCCACAGTCTTCCGAACAAACAAGCAGTGGATCTATTGCATGGTAGCCTGACCGAAATCCCATTCCTATTGGCGTGCTAAAGGGTAAAGACTACTGTACTTCATCCCCCCCCCCCCTTGCCCCCTTGCCCCTGCCCCTCTCTGTCCCTCCCCCACCTCAATCCCGTGGACGGCTCCGCTCCAGCTATCAACGAAATCACTTCCCTTGTGTACCATCTATCTTGCGCTAAGCTCCAAAGAATGTCACTCGAGGAGGGGTGACCCATTTTCACATGGCGATTCGACGATCTCACCTCGTATTCCAAGATCCCACATTGCACTAAACGCCAATTTAATGAAGGCCACACGTACGGATAGTTTGTGGGTAAATACCAGCTTAGACATGACGCGAGATCTTCAATCAGCCTCATTCTACTTCGCAACACCGTCTATGAAGACTTGAAAAGCTCAAAGGCACGTATGTGCATGTAAGTAGTGTATGGCGTCACGAGGTCAGATGGCCAAACAAGTAATAGCGTACAGAAAATGTTTTCAGAAATGCGGCATATTTCTGTATCTGAATTAAATAGAGGTAGGAGCAGCTTTGTAATTGGCTCCGTATTTGCATGGTGTTCAGCTTGCGTGTGAGCTATGTTTACCTATACTCTATCTAATGGCATATGTACGCATACCACGTCCTTTCTCCTTCAGATAGTAAGTACCAAAGACCTTCGACTGCTCTCGTCCTTTTCATATTTCAAGCTCTTCAGCACATGTTACAACCAGTGTGGCTTCACGTCCTGTCTGGTGGATCCTTAAGCATTCTCGATCGTGGTGGTGGTGACAATATCGTGTTTTTCTTTCGATATGTGACGATCGTTGTCGGCAAACTCTGTAAACAAGATTATTGATACACTTGCTAATCAAAGAAGACCTCAAATGAGTAGATAAGAAGGTATCAAGGCTTCCAAGGATAGGAGCAGACTTACGGTCGACATTGGTATACTTCCACTTGCGAGCGGGCACTTTGTTGTCAAACAGTAGATCGATCTCACCAAAGGGGCGGTCTTTGGTCTCGGGCAAACGGAACCAGCACCATATATTGCAAAGAAGATTAGTGCCGGCGTAGAAGAGAGCAGCCTTGGCGCCCCAATTCCAATCTGACATTCACGTCAGCCTTTTTAAACTTTCTGTTTGTGCGGTGTCTTGAGAGTCATGAACGGAGATCCGCGAAGACAATTGATGGACAAAAAAAGATATGAGCAGAGAGAGAATGAGAAAAAATGAAATACTTCCTACCATCAGGGGAAATCATTCGTGGGGTGATGATGTTATTGACAATACCCGTGCAGACATATGAGAAGCGGCCAATGGTGATGGTTTTGTAACGTAGCTTGCCAGAAGGCGTCTCGGCCACAATTGGGTAGGCGACAGGGCCAATGGTGATGACGTTCACGAGCTGGCATACA